TGCAGTCGCGATACTGTGTTGTATAATACAGATAAAGAGGTTTCCTTATTAGCCAAAGAAAAATGTAAACAGAATATTAAGATTTATGTTTCTGAAAATTTCGTTGAAAGAACTCTCAAAGTTAATGCATCTCTCTCTCTCTCTCTCTCTTTTTTTTTTTTTGAATATTAAGGAAGAAGAATCAGAGGACGATATGAAACAAAAGAAATACGATAAACAATTCCAATTATTGGTCATCGATATAAATAATTATTTTTGTTTCACTGTCTTCTCTTTTGCAGAGAACCTACATTTTTTAAGTCAAATTGTCTTAAAATTCTTTCATATAGCTAAGAAGACAGGAAACATTTTATCCATAGTGCCCGTTTGTCTGTAAAAAATAAAAGTCTTAAAGTACTACTACCTTTAACGATCCACTGCCATCGTTTATCTTTTAAGTAAAATTAAAAATATGGAAATAAAATAAGAAACTGAAAAAAAAAAATATTACAACGTCAATAAGAACAAGGACTTGGGTAATATAAAGAAAAATTTGAAATTTGCTGCTGTAGAAGAATATTTTGCGTCTACTATTTTTGAATATATTTCAAGATTTACTTTAGCTATATTATTACATCAGCACATTTATATGAAAGCAGTGCAAATAACATTTCCTTCCATTTTTTTTTTAATCAATACATCCACATAATGAATATAATAATAATCCATGAAATAATTGAATTTTTCAAACTATTTCAATATGTCTTCTGTTTTGGTCAGATCCAGTCATTAATCTTTCGCCTCCTTTTATTTGTAATTCTAACCATAATATTTTCTTCAAGGACAGGGCGAAAATCAATGCTTGATAATATGTCCAAAACTACATTTTGTTAACAGGATAGGGAGGTAAAGTAAAATAAATTAATGATAGTGTTTTCACTCCAGCAGAAATTTTCGTTAAAGTAAACAGTGATACAAGGTAAATAGAGTTGTGATTTTATCACTTCCGTAGCGCAGTTAAATCATACTTAACCCTTGCATGTAGTGGATTAGGATACAGAAACATTTAAAATCACTTATTTTAAGAGTACATCATTCGATTTAAGTTGCTGTGAATTATAAATAAATATTGCTTAGTGATAATTTGAGGAGGAATATTTACATGTATAACGATTTTCCTAAACAAAAAAATATAATAAGGAGAATGTTATTCTAGCAGTAGCGTATGTTACTTCAAACTGACCATAACGCTGCAGTATTTCTTGAAAACAGAGTAAACATGTACATTTTTAATTTTTTTTTTAATTTGAATTGGGTCCATAGTATGGAATTGAAAGTCATTTGTACACATCAAAGACATGTGTTGGCAGGGTGTCGGAGAGAACAATTAAAAAAAAAAAGAGTGAAAAAATTAAAACAAAATACTTAGATGCTTGGGCAGATTCAGTTTTATTCTTAGCAGAGGATTTATTTACAGTTACATACATGTAGCAGTACTCCATGCAATTCTCAAGATAGCAATAGTAATTTATTATGAAACGATATGATTACCTGTATATTCAATATGATGACTTGCTGATTCTTTTGAAAGTCGCTTTCAAAAATTATGTTTACAGGCAACACAGATTTTACTTCTAATTAAACACTTCTGCAATTCGGCATCTCACTGAAGAAATCGGTTAAAAAAATCTCAACTGAGATTATAACACAGGGTTTTTCAAGAAAAAAAAAACCCAGTCAATTTGATGTTTCAAAGCTCGCCAGTTCTTTAACGTTCAATGAATTTACATCTGGTTTTACTCAATGAATTTAAGGACAATGTAGCAAAAGCATTCACACAGCAATGTAATTCACAAGAACATAAAGGAACACTTAATTAGCAATCTAAAAAAACAACGATCATACAACGGCATCTCTTCTATCTTAAATAGCAATCTCAATACACAACGATCATACAACAACATCTCTTTTATCTTAAATAGCAATCTCAATACACAACGATCATACAACGACATCTCTTCTAAAATAGCAATCTCAATACACAACGATCATACAACGGCATCTATTCTATCTTAAATAGTAATCTCAATACACAACGATCATACAACGGCATCTCTTCTACCTTAAATAACAATCTCAATACACAATAATCATACAACGGCATCTCTTCTACCTCTCTAAATTAAATGAATTAAACATGTTCTCTTACTAGTTAATTCATATTTTTTTTCTATAGCAATAGGGACAAAGCATTTAACCTATTCGGGAAAAAAGTTGTAGGAATTAAAAATGTTAAAAGCATAACTAATTCAGATCATTGGGAGGAGTGGCATTTTAAAAGATTGAAATACGCCCTTTTGTAATAGCCTTAGCTACACGGATCTTAGTACCATTTCTTTCCTTAAGTAGTAGTTATCCCATATAATATTATTGGCTGCTCCGATATGAGTATACTGGCAACGTTCATTTTTTGCTATGGGAAATCCCAAATATCTGTCCGATAAAAACATGAAGTAGAAATTGCACAAAAAGTGTTTAATAAAGATTCTATGAAAGTACAATTAAATTTTAATCAGTGATATAGGAAGAGTTTCGGATAAGAAATCGGTATCCTTGATTTTAAAGACAGACATGTTAAGCTATGGGAAACTTAAACATATGTCCGTTCAAAAAGTAAAATAAGAGATGCACAATGGCACTTTTGTAACAAAGATTCTGTGGAAGTCTCATTAAATTTTGTTTAGTGGTATAAGAGGAGTTGCAAATAACAGATGGTTACCCCAAGGCGTAACGGACGGACGGGCGGACACCCAATCACTATACATCCCCCCGCTTTTCAAGCTTGGGGGGTCTGCTTTTTTCTGTAGATTTTTGAATTTATCAATCTCAACTATCTCTCATCGTATCATCCTTGAAAAGAATCCATCAGCATCAATAAAACGTTAATATCATTGTTTCAAATCACCAAGTTCACACATGGTAGGGAAATACTGGCTCCATGGTGAAAAAATTCATTCATTAAAAGTAATATTGGACCAAATGATCGCTAAGTCGAATTGTGAGTTCTACATCTTTATTGCATGATAGTGAGGTTAATGTCTTTACACATGCGAAAAATAATATAGTTCGAGGGCAACGCAGGAGTCCCCGCACAAAACATTAAAATATTGATTTCCTCACTACCAAATTATGCTTTAATGTGTCAATACAAAGGGACATACAAGAGAGCTAACAAAATACCAATTTATACTTATTATTCAATAATAAATAATTCTTTTAATTTAATTCTTCTTCAAAATCTTTACTTAATTCTATATGGTTTCCAGTTTGCTCTTTTAAATTTGAATTAAATGATTACGGATCGTTTTGATGAATTTTTTAAATGCTTACTTGATAAAACAATATTCTCAAAACTAGGAATGTGTTGTATTTTAAACATCTGTTGTTTGATTTCAAAGGACAAGGTTCGATAATCCATGAAAAGGCCAAGAGTGTAGAAGTGAGATACTCCGAATCGGCCTTGCACACTAAATATATGAGATTTCCAATACTTTCATTTCTTGGCTTTATAGAGAGCAATGATGGAATTAAAATTACACCCACTATCTGCAGAATTAAATTGTTGAAAATCCTTGCTGGGACATTAAACCACTAACAATAATTACACATGTATCGATAGCAAAGTTTAATTTTAGAAGGAAAAAGATGACTTTGACTTTCCCCAGTTGTCTTGAACGAGTTTATATTCTGGATATGAACAATGCCACTTCCGAGTATAGCCAGGGAGATAGGTAAATAGACAACATTGATACGGAGAAAAATTCAAAATACGTCAAATTGAATTTCTAAATTTTAAGTCTTCTTTATTTGAAAGTCTTCTATCTACTATTACTCGCGCTGCATTATATTAAATGTAACAATACATTATATTACATGTAGCAATATATTATATTACATGTAAAAATACATTATAATTTATGTAACAATAATGCGCAGAAAACGTATGTAGTGAAATAAACAGTATGGAGACTGTTAAAAGGCAGGTCTGTTGTTTCAAGGATATTTAGATTGATGAAATTGTTTTGAATTTTTCCTTGATGTTCCCTGTTTACAAATACATAAACAATTTAGTACAATTTTATATTTTATTTAAATATAAAAAGTGAAATAGGAAGACAATATCTTACCCTTGTTCAATATCAATGGAAAAAAAGGTAATATGAATATTATATATAAAGAAGATGGGCGAACAAGGCAAAATGCCTATAGTACTACAAACATGGTGAAAAATTAAGTCTCAATTATCACAAAATTTAAATATTTTATCTAACATTGTAGTACACTTTATGTACAAATCTCACAAAAATTTATTTTATTTTGCCTTTGAAATAACACACGCAAATTAAATAGGGCTAAAAGGACCATTTTCTCATACTTTAATACAATTTTTCGATATGAGTGGGTCTTTACTCCATTTTTATGAAAGTTTATCCTCAAAGTTTGCTAAAAATTTATATTTTTTGGTTAACATACATATGTACATGTATTAAAGACCCACTACACATTAAAAATACACTTTTATGACACAATATTCGCATCTTTCCGATAAATACTTAAGTCCATTTAATCAAAGGTCATATCAACAAACATGATTTAAATGCCACTATTCATCAAGTGCTGTGTAGCCTAATGGTTACCGCGTTAGTCTCAAATGAAACTGATACTCAGGATTTTTATTGCTAGAGTTCGGACCACACGGACACCACTTTCTTTTTTTTTTTTTAAACAGAATAATTTTTGCCGAGAAGTTTTTTCTCGGAATTTTTTTTATCTGATTTCATAAACTTCAATAATGAGAACTTTAATCTAAATACTAAATTCACAAAATGAATATGATTTTTTAACAAATATTTTTGAAGCTATAGGAATTCTGCACGCCTTGTTCACCCATATCTTTATTAATATATTACTATGTATATCTTTCAAAAAATGAGCAAAAATCACAAGAATATTCAGAGCTCTTTCTGTCCGAAAACGGTTTTTGTTTATTATTATAGTAAAAAAATTAGAATGAACACAGATAGAATAGTTTTGTTTCCGATTATATTGAGCCGTCTAGGACACGCTATTTCTGTCCAGGTCTTGTGGCATCATTAGTCTGAGTGAAGGAATTAGAGTTCCTAAAAGCATGGTCAGAGTACTTTGGACAGTAGTTCCAGAGCCATTTGCAGCAGTTTTAGAAGCATCTGAAGTTCCTGGGACATATGCTGAAGAAAATGTTTTACATGGTTTATGTATTAGGATAGTATATGTATTAACTACGTTTGATTTAAAAAAATGAACTTGCTATACATATCTTAGCCTTTATAACCTGCTTTCTCAAATACACGTTTTCGCGTGAAATTTCTATATATCCATATTAGTAATACGAATTTCTCCGACTATTGTGTCCTGAAAAAAAAAAAAAAAACAGAATTCTCTGACAAGACTGTAGCCCTACTGGTGGATACAAGCAATAAAGAAAGATGTATCTTTGAATAGTCAAATTGTGTTTAAAATCTTATTGAATTTGGACCAAAACCAATTTTGAAAAAGAATATTTTGAAAGAATTTCAAAGAAATTTATATTATCAATAACCATTGCAACACCGTTTGTCGAAATAAAAAACGGAAAAGTAGTATTACATATCTTAGTGTATTCTATTTGTGTAGTTTTTATTGGACCAGTGTATTCTATTTGTGTAGTTTTTATTGGACCAGACTGGTGTATTCTATTTGTGTAGTTTTTATTGGACCAGTGTATTCTATTTGTGTAGTTTTTTTGGACCAAACTATACGAGGAGTAGCATTGAAATGAATTTCATAGAAATTCCTGTTTTTATTAACCATGGCTACAAAGTTTGTCGAAATCAACACCAATATACAGTTATGTATCTTATTTGTACTTGTGTATCAAGTCTTCTTGAAATCGAACTAAAACTTAATTAGGAGTAGAACTTGAAATGAATTTCACAGACGTTTAGTAGCTTTGGCAACACCCTCTGTCGAAATCAAAAACTAATATTCGAAGTTACAAGAGTAGTATTTTGAAAGAATTTCACAGAAATTTCTATTTTTAGTTAACATGGCAATGCCGTTTGTAGAATCATGTATCTGTTGCAGACTACTTGTGTATCAAGTCTTATTGAAATCCCACCACATCTGTAGGAAAAGCAGCATTTTGAGGGAATTTCACAGAAATATCTATTTTTAATAACCCTAGCAATAACATTTGACAAAATTGAAAACCAATATACAGAATTATGTATCTTAGTATAGTTTACTTGTTTATTTAGTCTTAAAAAAAGCATCAAAACTGTACGAAGAGTAACATTTTGAAAAATTGTTAACAGACGACGGATGGACGATTGAAGCCTTACTACAGCATCAAGTATTTTGATCTTTGACCAGTACAGGTTATAAAAGATGTATAAAAGCGTGCAATTAAATCTAAAAATCTGAGCATGGTTATTCTGAGTTGGGATTTAAATGAAAGTATTTACAATATTTCTTTTTGATCATGTCATACATGTACCAAACAATTAATGAGAATGTGTAAAAGCCCTACTTTTAGGTAGACATTTAGCACCGTCAAATCCACAATTAGGTGTATCTGGTGGCACTGATGTTCTGTTTCCGGCCCAATGAATCTTCTTAGATGGGATCGGCATATATTTTTTAACGTTGCCAAAGAAATTAGCCACCACCTGTTTAAAAACGTGCTTAACTGAGAAAACCACATGGCAGGCAAATTTGTGAAACTCAGAAAGTAACAATTATTATCCGAAGTCGAATACTTACTTCAAGTAACGAAAACATCTTGATGCTTTTCCCAGAATATTTTGATTGATCATAAAAGGGTCAATTCCTTCCCCAAAAGAATAATGATTCACTGTCATATAATCTTACTTTCTAATACAATGTTAGAAATACGCAAATTTTACACTAAAGGGGGTTTAAAGCAGGTGTACAGGTATGGAAAATGAGATTTCTTTCAACTGTTACATGAATTGCAATATGATTTACTTTATGTCGGGCTCAAGGTACTGACCTCAAAATTTCCTGACATCGGGTTCATGTCTAGAAGAGAAAAGTCGGAAGTTCTGTCTCCATTAATGTCAATGCTGACGGTACCTGTAATACCTAAACATAACAAAAAAGTAACACATTTCAGAGCTTCAACGGTATACATATGACAAGACGTTATGCATTTAAGACTTCCACTGGCTACATCTACACGACAAGAATTTCAGATTTCCACCGGTATCATCTATTGTATCTGACCATAAGTCTGTTATAAACATCATAAAAATGGCGGCCGAAATATCAACATTCAGAAAGCCGATTTTCATTATTCAACTAAACAACTTGTTGACTCTGGGTTGTTTAATAGTCTATATGGTAATTTTATGACCTCATTTAATGACGTACCAAACCGTAAAGTATCTTGCACTACAAGATCGATACCAAAGGTTTTAAAAAATGTCTACTTATATGAAAAATGCCAAAGTATATAAGTCTAAGCAGTTCATGCACAACAGAACATTGTAAGTACGCTTTGTGTTAGTCAGTCAGAGAAGTTTCTGAAACGATACAGAAGCACGGAACATGTGAAAACCAACATCGAAGAGGCCATCCAAGAAAACCGAAATCCGATTGAAGGATACATCAAATTGTAAACCCAGCAAAAGGAAAAACTCTTTAGGGATATATCCATAGAAATCAAGACAAAATTACCCGATGTCATTTCTCTACGGAGGGTGAGAAGGCCCTTGAGATTTTTTTCACTTCAAACGAAGAAAGACAAAAAACTAATAATTTGGGCTGTAAATCGCACTCGCCGTGTAATTTGATGTTGAGATAAAGCACACTGGAGAGTGAATAATCTTTGGATAAAGGTGATATTCAGTGATGAAACTTAGGTTGTCATTTACCAGAATGTGCGAGTTTATGTATGGAGAAGACCAGACGAAGTATAGCAACCAGCATGTGAATATTGTTCTGGAGCAAGCTTCCGCTCAGTAAATTCTTTACTCAAAAGTAAACAAATTTTGTCCTCTATCTTGGTCGCCCGCGAGACGCAGTAGTTAAAGTGTCTGCTCGCGGAGTAAGGAGTAGATCCTTACGTCGCGGGTTCGAATCCCACTGTGGGACGTGGAGATCGGTTCTTCGGAGGAGACCGTGTAAACCGAGGTCCCGTGTCGCAGTAGGTGCTGGCACGAAAAAGATCCCTCACTGCTCAATGGCGCAGAGTGCCCAGTATAGGTCAAAATATGTAGCCCTCCACCGGAAAGTGGTGGAGTCTCCATATGAGTGAAAAATTCTCGAGCGGGACGTTAATTAATAAACAATAAATCAAACAATCCTTTATCTGGAAAATAACGAAACTTTTAAATAGTTTGTGACGTGAAAGAAACAAGCACTGACGATAATCTGTTTTCAAAATATAGTAATTTTTGTTATTTAAGAATCTTCATATAATATATTACAATTATGTACATTTCTAGAGATTTTCAAAATTTGCCTTTTTTTTTGGGGGGGGGGGGGATATGCTTTTACTGCATATAGTTCTTTATATCCTGTCATTGCTCGTCATTTTCCAAAGGAGTACGACAATGGTCTGGGGGTCCTTACATAAAGGGTACTTAAGTCTAAGACCATGCTTCAGTAAGATTTAAGTACAGTTTTAAACGTAAGACCGTACTAGAAACATGCTAAGATTTGACAATCTTAGCAAAACTTAGGCGGCCTGTAGAGGTGACTTAAGTCTGTCTTAACTTTCTTAAACATATATTTAGTACTATTTAAGTTTGACTTACTATGCTTAAACATTCCTCTAGTTATATTATGCATTAAAAGATATTTTTCTCTATTTAATATACTGGTATAAGAATTTTAGTTTTTCGTCGGGGGGGGGGGGGTGTTATTCATCACTTTTCCCGATATCACTCTCTAAATGACATACATGTAAATGCAAAATATTATTTTTGGGATACATTTGAAATATTAGTGGGGCCTAGGTTATAAACACTAATCATTATAAGTAAATTGTATACAGTAATCATGTTTGTTTACTGTGAAAAAATTAGATGGAATGGTTTTAAAAGTTGTAGATGAATTAAAGGATGATGACTAGAAAATTAATAAAGATTTTCTGTAAATTAGATTGAATGTAGAACGCAACAAGCAAGGATTCAGACATTGTTCACTACCGTTAACGTACGAGAGAGAGAGAGAGAGAGAGAGATGTTGTTACATGTAAGTTGGAGATGTACGAAAAATTGTTTTCTGAAAACAATTCTTTTCAATCCTTCATTAAATTGTAAATAAGTATATCATAAAACGTCTGCAGTCTCTGCTTACTGATATGGGAGGAACAAAATTCAAATATCCCTATTGTTTTTTACTTTTTTATTAAGAGTTTCAATTTCAAGTACATACGCTCGGTTATCGTGCCATGTCTGCGAGAAAGACAATTTGAAAGCAAGTGAACATTTGTCAAACGAAAGAATAACAACAAACGGTAAACTGAAAACATCGCAGTCTCGAGAGATTAACAATATTCACGCATTTACAATGAACCACTAGTGCCACTTTGTAAGCGTGCAATATTTGTTTTCAGATATTCAGAATTATTTAAACAGAATTAATTTTAATCAATTACGAAATCTAATCTAACCTACCTAAAACCGATAGGTAAGGACGTCAACTTTAATTTACATGTGATAAAAAACGTAACTAAATCATATTTACAAATACATATATAAATAAATTGAAAAACTACGATGATTCATAAAAATATTTTGAGCATAAGTTTGACTTAGCTAAGACCTAGCTAAGTCCGTTTTATGTTACGGTTTAAGACATACTTAAGTACTACTTAGGCAGGTCCTAAGATTGCACCTAAAACATACTTATGGCCCTACTTAAGTCAAAAACTTAGCAAGCTTTATGTTACGACCCTCTGGTCTGTTCATCCAATGCCACTAAACCGACTATGATATTAAAAGTCTTACTTGGCCTTCACAATCTCCGGGCATAACCATCACTGAAAACTGTGGAGAACCATAAAAATACTTCAAAGACATGTGAAGAATATCCATGACCACGAAGGCCATAGCAAGAAAGAGAACGAAATTTGGCGGTTATTGTCTAAACATTACATTCAGAGCTTGTACGCTTCTATTCCGCGCCAAACTCCTTAAGTTATTAAATCTAAGGGGCAACAACAAAATACAAGAGATAAAGAATTTAATATCTTAAGGTATTCCATCCCTAATGGCCTCAGATTCAAGGAATTTGAATAAGTAACAGATGTGTGCGGATGGAATACTCAGTATATTCAGACATAATACCCATTTATTACTATTAGCATGTAAGAATGGAACGTGTCCTAATTTATGACCTTGACCTTTGTTGAAGAGTTATCTCCCTCATTTTTTAAGTAATAAAAATCAATTTTAAAAAATCTATACGGTAAAAAAAATTGTTTTCAATTGTCATTCTATTTCTAATGATTAAATGCATCTTTCCACCACAGTATTTATTGATATTATTATTAATTGAATTTTTATTTTAAAAAAATCGCCTGTCTCCATAGACTTTTGCAATTTCTGTTAATTAATTACTGCTTAGTTAATTACATTTTTGAAACTTTCTCTTGGTAAATCCTTTTCTACTATAAAATTCTTTGAATTAATATCAGAGTATTATATACGTGATAGATATTTAAGGATACAGAATTAGGTCCTATAAGGGATTGAAAACTTTATGGGTTTTGCACTGTTAGATTTTATGTTTTCACGCTGCGTTACGTTAGCAATTTTCATAATAGACTTATAGCCAGGTACTCTAGATATGACAACTAGAAGTTAAACAATTCAGAGTTCAACCGGTAATCCTACACATGACGACTGGAAGTTACCCAATTTAGAGTTCCACTGATCATGATATTACCTAACATGACAACAAAAAGTTAGGCATTTCACAGGTAAAACATGTACATAACAACGCGAAATTAAAGCTGAACACGACTCGTAAATAGGCTTACGCCATTTTCGATATTACAATCTAAGATATCAACACCAGGCTATACTCTTCGCATTCGTTACACTTGACTGCTTTATTGTCACGGGTATCGGCGTGGAATGGCGACCCGTGTTCGTGCTGGTTATCTTGCATTACTTTTGTTTACCTTTTATTGCAGTTACGTATATTTGTGTTTATTTGTATACACTGCACTGACTTGTGCAACTGTTGTAAATCTCTTTGGTATCTTAAATTACTCTCCTGCACTAGAAGAAGCACACAGTTATTTTTTTCGCTACCAAGTGCTGTATAGCATACGTCCGTCTACACCGGTGACAATTGATTACACTGATTAGTGATCAAGTGAGCGGCTCTATATATGGGGGCCCTCAGATATAGCGATAGTCCATTCGAATATGGCGGACAGATTCTTTTTACGAAGCGTGTTCAGCTTTAAGCATTTCAGAGTTCTGTTGGTAATACCATCACATAACATCAAAAAGTTATTCATTTCCAGTGGCGGATCAAGGAATCTTGAAAGGGGAGCGACCAGTTTGGGTTCAGGGAAGGGGCCCACAGCCACACCAAAAAATTGATTTATCAAATCTTATGTATAATTTGGACACAAAAGTATGTGTGTTGGGGGGGGGGGGGGCTCTCTAAATCCGCCAGTGATTTCTGATACCAGGTATCAGTGATACCTACACATGACCACAGGCTTTATGCATTTCTGAGTTCTACCTAAATAAAGCTGATTACTAACAACAAACAATTTTTCTCTTTTCAAAACCTGTATTTTATGCCGCTGCGAATAATTCTTTTTCCTCCTCCATGGAGCAAGTAATTTACAAATCTATACTGCAATGCTGAATTAATGCATATTTTAAAATTCTCAGATTCATAGTTTGATGGAAATAATCCCTTGATTTACATGTATTTGATCAACTATTATCAAACGATTAAATGCGATATTCAGAAAGAACATGGGTTGTGCTTACCCTGAAATGTTCTGTTGGACATCCTTTGAATAATTTCTGTCCCATTCGATATAGAGCCGTTGCTGGCAAGAGTCTCATTTAGGGCGAGAGCATACAGTATCACAGAGTCGTGAAAGGCACCTACAAAACTGTTCACCTACAACAAAACCAAAGCAAGATAACATGTTATCCATAAAACGCCATTTCCAAACTTCAAATATCACCAACAATTGAAAATATAACTTTACAAGGTACGAAACATGAAAGTGTAGAAGGGTTTTATAGTCGACATTTTAAAAGATGTAATAGATACTGCTGCAGAGCTTTGACCATTATGTTGAGTGACAGTTTGCCTTGTAGGGAGTAAGAAGGCAAAAATACAAATTTGACCATTCAGCAAGTCAAGCCGAGGGATTTATATTTAAGTGTCAAGATTGTTGTCAAATGTTTCTAACAAATCAATGAAATTTGAAGATAATGAACAGTATTCAATCTGAAAAGTCCAATGAAACGATGCCAATTTGGAGCAGAGCAAACAAGGACCTCAAAATTTAGGGGTGGGGTCAGGTGCCATGGAGGAATGAGCAACCCCTGCCGACCGGTCACACCCGCAGTGTGCTCCTTGTCATAATCGAAAAAAAAAACGGAAAAATCCGTAGACAGTTCAGCGTATAAATAATGACCTAACAATTAGTAGTGAAAACGTCAGTCATGACTCAATGATAGGTTGAATGTGCTGACAAGGTCATCGTATCGACCGTAAAACTTTCAAAATGATGACTTCAAACGAGACTGTTGATATCGTATCGACCGTTAAAATGGAAAAGATAATATTGTAGGCCTAAATAAGAAAAATGGACATGAAAGTATAATCCTTATACAATCAAGTCTAAAATTTAGGACATTGAGAAAATTGTATATACAGCATGGAAAAAATGTTCAATACCAAGGAAGTGTTGATGAACAATATACAGAAGCGTATTAATTAGGGCCGCAGCAGTATATTTTATTAATTTGTTATAACAAATTGATAATTTGTTAAACAAATCAATAAAAGATACTGCTGCGGCCCTAATACGCTTCCGTAACAATAAGCAAAATACGTGCAAGTACATTTTTTTTAATTTATTTTGTCCAAATAAAATATCAAGAATGATAAAATTGATTTAATACTGTAAATGTTTTATATTTAGCGTGTACGATATTTGGTGGAAATTCACTTTTGAACAAGTTAGCGTAGATTTGATTTAGTGCATTTCTCTTAATGTTCTTTTTTGCATGTGCATATATGCAAGACATTTAGCGTTGTACTTGAATTAGCGGAAGTTGCTTTCCCTCAAGGGCGCTAAAAAGAATACTCAGCCAAATGTAATACGTTTACAGTAATTTACCCTGATTCCAACATTCAATTTGATCGAATGGCAGATCATTCTTACTACAGATATGTAATTATTTATCTCTAATATGAAGAGTTCAAAACAACGGCAATTAAGACAACCAATCAGAAGTATTTGTGATATTCCGATTCATTGTTCCCTTAGTTAACCGGTAAAATCAACTTGGGCTCGCGAATCTTGCTGATTGCTGAAATAAGCTCGTAAGAAAGAATGATTATTTTGAATGAAATACACAATATATTTGAGAAGTGGTGTAAATCAGATGTGGATACTTTAAAACTCTAGGAAAATTTTAGAAAATTTGAAATGAAAATTTTTTACCAAAATCAATAACCTCAAAACCTACGGCTTCAACACTGTTTAAAATCATTCCCCAGGATGAATTTAAATCCAGATTTTTTGACATCAAAAACAGCTGCTTTTTTCAATAAATTAATGGAACTTGTAACTTTACATACCTTGTTATTGGTCAATTGAAAAATTATTTTGTTAAAAACATGATTTACACACAAGTACACTGAACTTGAATTTAAACTAATGCTTGAATCTCTGATTGACAATAGTAATCTAGTTTTTGGAGATAGGTCTTCCAACAATATGTCGGAATTCCCATGGGTACCGATTGCGCCCCGTAATTAGCTGCCTAATTTTTGTATTCATATAAAGTAGAATTTATTCATAAACTTGTACATGAGAATAAGAAATCACGTGGTGTGGCCTTTAACTCGACATTTAGATTTACCGACGACCTATTATCAATATAAATAGTTACTTCAGTTCATATTTCGACTAGATATATCCCAACTTCTAAGGAGTCTGACACACCTGTTTCATATTTAGCTATTTTAATTTTTTTTTTTTTTTAAAAATACGTGAATGGTTACTTAACAACACAACTTTTCAATCGTCAACTTCCTTCATTTACGTAGTAATATATCCTTTTCGCCTGCATATGGGGTTTATGTCTCCCAGGTTGAATCGATAGGAAAAAGCATGCTCTACGTATGAAAAATTACTAAAGCGATCCAAGCTATTGACAAACAGGTTGATGAAACAAGAATATCAACAGTCTGGTTTGAAATTATCACTTTGCAAGTTCTGTACAATGATCGATACAATGATCTTGTCAGCAAATACAATCTATTATTAAGTGGAATGCTGACCGACGTTTTTGACACTGCTTGTTAGGTCATCATTTAAACACTGAATTGTCTACGGAATTTTTCTGTTTGCCCGATCATGACAATGAGTACACGACGGGTCTGACCGGTTGACAGGGGATGTTTACTCCTCCATGGCAACTGATCCCAACTCTGATTTTTTATTACAGGTTCCTTTTTACATATGGAGTGGCGAATTATCCAACTCTTTGATCGATGGCTGAGCAAGTTTGGAACAACTAGAGAGGAAATTTACTCCGAATAAAGGAAATGGATGAACGAACAGAAGGACAGACAGAATGATAAAAAAAAGTTCATCGTATATGAAGTGTTACAGATGCTTAATTATATATGTGTGTGTTTGTCTCTAGTGGTCTCTACTTTTCTATTATATATAGAGACGGAAAATTTTGCAATGGTTTCTGCCTTTCTTATATCTAAAAAGATGGATTCTTGTTTCTCCAGCTAACCTCAATATTCTTTGTATTGTTTTCTTATGTCTAGAAAGTAGGATGATATTTGTCAGAGCTCTAAGTACTCTGTGGGTCTGAATCGCTTGTTCCCATCCTTGTTTACGGCTACCCTCATGTTCTGTGCAACAATTGATGGCTGCAATATATGCTTTCCCCCGTATGGAATACTTCCTGAAGGTAGTCTTGAACATCTTCCGATTACCCGATATTCTGTCCTTCTTTAATACCCATAACATTCTTCTTTCCAGAGAAGTCAGAAAAGACATTCTTCCATTAAACTTGGATATTTTCAAATGCTGAGATTTCCTAGCAGGGTGTGGTTTTGCATGGCGTTGTATGTGGAAAAAACTTCTGTACATCCTCCTTTATAGCATGAATACTACAAACTTTACTCTATAGTGATATATAGCTGAGTACTCGAATGCTACAAACTTTACTCTATAGTGATATATAGCTGAGTACTCGAATACTACAAACTTTACTCTATAGTGATATATAGCTGAGTACTCGAAAGCTACAGACTTTATAATGATATATAGCTGAGTACTCGAATGCTACAAACTTTACCCTGTAGTGATATATAGCTGAGTACTCGAATACAACAAACTTTACTCTGTACTGATATATAGCTGAGTACTCGAATACTACAAACTTTACTCTATAGTGATATATAGCTGAGTACTCAAATACTACAAACTTTACTCTATAGTGATATATAGCTGAGTACTCGAATACTACAAAATTGACTCTATAGTGATATATAGCTGAGTACTCGAATACCACAAACTTGACTCTATAGTGATATATAGCTAAGTAATCGAATACTACAAACTTTACTCTATAGTGAAATATAGCTGAGTACTCAAATACTACAAACTTTACTCTATAGTGATATATAGCTGAGTACTCGAATACCACAAACTTGACTCTATAGTGATATATAGCTGAGTACTCAAATACTACAAACTTTACTCTATAGTGATATATCGCTGAGTACTCGAATGCTACAAACTTTACTCTATAGTGATATTTAGCTGAGTACTTGAATACTACAAACTTGACTCTATAGTGATATACAGCTGAGTACTCGAATACCACAAACTTGACTCTATAGTGATATATAGCTGAGTACTCGAATACAACAAACTTGACTCTATAGTGATATATAGCTGAGTACTCGAATCCTACAAACTTTACTCTATAGTGATATATAGCTGAGTACTCGAATGCTACAAACTTTACTCTATAGTGATATAATCATGACATCACTAACCTCCTCGTCGCCGAAGCTGCGGTATCCAGCTCGACTTTTTACAAGATCAGAGAAGCGTCTGTAAGCAAAGCTTGTAGGTTTCCGTACAGTAATCGTCATCAGGGCCTCATAAGCTCTCTTAGCCTTTCGGTTCCGCTCCGTCGTGTCCTTCCCCCTGTACCAGGGTTTTTCACTCTCCCCTTTACTACTTTAATATTACAAAACGATATAAATGTATATTTTTACTATAGTACATTTAATTTGCCAATTACTTCATATTTCATATTTTTACTTTACTTATTACGTCAAGTTCTGAGCTATCATTCACTTTATTCTATCACTGATTGCCGTTCATTGTCTTCCTGTTAGATGACGTTTAAAAATTACTACGTTACAAGATGCTACTGAACATTTGACAAACCGCGTTCCGAGTATTGGCCAAAATTTGCAGACCGGCAAATTGTGGCGTCTCCATATGAGTAAAAAATTCTCGAGAGGGACGTTAAACAACAAAACATACAAACACAGTTGCATAAACACAGCACATTTCCAGGATTCGACTGTATAAAACTATAGAAGTTTTTTTTTATATATAATTATAAATTACTGTTTAATTAACCTGCATTAAAAATTAATGATGATCTGAATGAATTTCAAACTCTAATGGACAGAGACCAACTTATGCAATAGTAAGGTGTTCGTCGTCCGTCCGTCTGTCTGTCCATTTGTCTGTGAACAATCATTTCAAGACGCTATTCCTCCTACATGTTTAGTCCAATTTCAGTACGCCTTGGTACCTGAGTACAAAATTCTAAGATATACCAAATACGCCTTGGTACCTGAGTACAATATTCTAAGATATACCAAATACTAAGCATTAGAACTTCAGTCTCATCAAAGACTTCTGGACTAAGGTATGAATTTATGTTTTGCATTGATAGGAACAATCCTCCTGTCATAATGACCTAAATTTTTTAAGATATTTAGCCCTGACAGAGACAGATGATACTGTTTCCTTTATGAATCACTCCTCATAGTTCTGGTGCATAAGTTTGAATGCTAGAATGCACTCTTGCCTTGTATGAAGAGCTAAAAACTGGGCTCGGCACACAAAGCCACAATGATATGAGCTTTGTCTCCCTGGCATTTTCCTTTCTTGGACCTGTCCATTTGAAACAAGCAAGCACTGTCTGCATCATACTGGCCTTCCATTGGTGGAGATCTTACTAATGTCTCCCAGAAGGACTCTACAAAATCTTTCCCTCAAGCCTTCCTGACACATGTGCATGAAACACTAAGGAAGGTATTATATAGCCAAAAACCTTACGCGTTTTATAAATATTGTTGAACTTCGGTTCTCGAACATCGATATCTCGAATACCATCAATGTGTCAAAGCATTTGGAAGTACCAACTCCTTTTCCTTAATGTTCTTTACCCTCAATATCTCTAACACTCGGATAGTTTTAACTAGTTCGAGATAACGAAGATTGACTGTATTTCAGAATAAATGCAATAGGTCAATGTTCAAGCTACTCAAACACCTTATCCATTTGATAAACAAGCTTAATTTATTTTCTCTTAGTATCTTGATTGATTGATTGTATGTTGTTTTACGTCCCATTCGAGAATTTTTCACTCATATAGAGACGTTACCATATACCGGTGAAGGGCTTCAAATTTTGACCTTTACTCGGCACTCAGGGCCATTGAGCAGTGAGGGATCTTTATCGTGCCAACGCCTACCGTGACACGGGGCCTCAGTTTTTAAGGTCTCATCCGAAGTACCCGCAACTCTCACTTCAAAGTGCCGAGCGCATGGCGAAGGAACAGTTGCTACCTACTTTTTATCGACTTAAGTCTGTCGCGGCCGAGATTCGAACTCACCACCTCCCGATCACGCTTAGTATCTTGAGTATATATTGTTAATAAACTCAAATTTATATTTTATGAAATTGACATGCGTTTAGACGCTTGGTTTCTGTTAAGACATTGTACTTAGGCTTAAAGCAATTCCGTATACTGATGGTATTTAAAGTTGTAAACAATTAAACATGTCAAATTATTAACTTTATAATACCATATACGATAATTTTTGTGTAAAATATTCATGCGTTATCTGTATTTAGGAAATAAACAGGGTAAATGATTTTATTTAAGCTGAACACGACTCGTAAATAGGCATACGCCATTTTCGGTATTACTATCTAGATATCAGCACTGGGGTATACTCTTCGCATTCGTTACACCTGGCTGCTTTATTGTCACGGGTATCGGCGACCCGTGTTCGTGCTGGTTATCTTGCATTACCTTTGTTTACATTTTATTGCAGTTACGTGTATTTGTGTTTGTTTGTAGACTGCACTGACCTGTGCAACTATTGTAAGTCCCTTTGGTATCTTACTCTCCTATATTAGAAGTAAACGTATATTTTTTGTCGCTACCGAGTGGTATATAGCATACATCCGTCTATACAGGTGACGATTGATTACACTGAACAGTGTTTAAGTGAGCGGCTCTATATATAAGGGCCCAGGTATAGCGAGAGTCCAATCGAATATGGCGGACAAATTTCTTTTACGAATCATGTACAGCTTTAAACGTTCCAAGCACTATTTTCATACTGAAACCTAACATCATACTGAAACCTAACTTAATGGACTACCGCACGCAAGCGTTTGTGTCGTCAGACCCAATATGTTAGGTTGCCGGACACAAAGGGTTAGAACTGGTTATCTTCCCAGATCCGTTTATCTGTTCGGAAATTAGATCGCTGCCTTCAGTACCCAGAAATGTTATTTTTTTGATATGTACGTTTATGTCGTCTATTCCTTAACATTTAGTGGTTTAATTAATACTTAGGTCTACGCCGTATCTACCATCGAATACACAACATATATATTGGTCTGTACTCTTGGGAGAATAAGTTTAAGCAATATACCTCCACACTCAGTATAAAGTAAGTCTATACATCTATACTACATTCACTATTAAATATATTCACCCTGTTGTATGTACTGTGCCTACCATTGAATGCAGTCAATCTTTACAAATTGGGACGTCAATTCTGCGAGTCTATACCGTATCAACTATTATGAAAAGTCGTTCTGTCATCCCGTGCTTTAGCCAACCGATCATGTATACTATAGTTATTTTCAATTTGTGTATATACTAATCTACAATTCTTTGGGGCAGCACCCTACTTACCTGCTAAATAAGTCAATGTTGAGGAAGACATATTCACCATTATCAAAATTGAGTTCCTCGGCTTTAATCATGATGTCCCTTACAGTATCTGCCGAGGCACACAGCAACACAACTAAAAGAAAGAACCTATGCTCTTATATATATATGGGTAAAAGTGTCCTATCCACGCAGTTATCAACTTTTAAATCAAGTCATTGAAATCAAAAGACAATCTGATGGTAATATTTTTATCTGGATTACAGTCAGTTCAAGCAGTTTAAGACAACGGAGCAAAGGTCTTATTTTATTAGCAAATAAAGATATTACGCAATGGTTCTTAAATCATTTAACCAATCAAAGTATAGAAAATATAAAAAAAAATACTTTATTTAATGGCATCACTGTGTTAGTAAAGGTTAAGACAGATAGGAGATAAATATGAAAAAATGAATATGTACAAAGGGGGTCTTAGGAGAAAGAACTAGTCAATGAAGTTAGCAATAAAAGAACATTTAAAACTGCAAAGGAGAGAAAAGGATGGACAGTGCAGCAAAAAAAGTATTAATGAACTTAAAAACGAGAAAAAGATTATCACCTTTACACAAGATAAATCTGCGCCACCCACTCTGAAAGCATGAAAAGGTGACTGAATGGCAGAGTTTTGTCCTGTTTTCAAAGCTAAATAAATCTTTGTGAGAGTAACTAAGGTTGTCTAAATGGGTTTAAGATGCTTGACAAGGAAAGCTCATTATAACGATTGCATTTCCGATTTTTGCTTTCATTCCACATCCACAAGTCAAACTTATACCCAAGATTTCCCTTTCAAAGGATAAAATTCATTAAACTCACTTTCAAAATACCAGTCATGTGAATTTCAGATACCGAATATACTGGATTCCAAAACTTTATAAAACTCATCAAAAAACAAACTGCATCAGAGGGCTAGGAAATGTTCTATCAGGCCCGTATATTTTCTTAAAAAATATCTGCCCTGATGGATTACCTTTAGACTAACAGTGCACCAACATATTTATCAAGCGATATGAATCACGTATGTATTCTAATAAAAATGAAATTTTTAAAACATTTTTATATTTTTTCTAACTTTAAACCATCAAAATTTTTGATTTTCAAACTTTTTACAAACATTTCTCATTTCAGGATAAACAATATCCTTTTCAAATTGTAAATTACTACGAACCAACGAATAATGGAACTTGCAAATTTTCCTATCATGCAGGTGGCCAATTATAATAATACTAAGTAAATTACATTCTACAAAAAGCATTTCTCAAATGTCGAAAGAAAGGTTTCATTTTAAGGTAAAGGGAGTTAAAAATCATCATATATGGGTAAAGATCTTGTCACAGGCTTCTGACTTGAAAAATATGCCATGTTTTTAATTAAAAAATACAAACTAGGAGTAGAGTAAACACGGACCTCAAAATACATCATATGTGGGATCAGATGCCATAGAGGAGTGGGCATCCCCTGTCGACGGTCAGACCCGTCGTGTGCTCCTTCAAGTTTCAAATGTGTGTGTGTGGGGGGGGGGGGGGGCTTCCCCCCAAAAATGTGACAAGCAAAAAAAAAAAAAATAAATAAATAGACTATAAAGGGGGGGGGGGGCATCTAAAAATTATCTGACAAACACAAAAGGCTAATTTACTGTGCAAATCCTAGAATTTGCCGGTACTCGACCTTTCAACATCAAAAAAAAAGGGGGGGGCACCCAGCTTCGAAAGGAAAATTTTCTATAGCAAAGTACTATACTCGGAAACAAGAGGCCCATGGGCCACATCGCTCAACTTACTGTAGTAACTTTGGCCATGCTGTTCTTTACCAGATTTCCCTCCTTGTAATACCTATTGTGGCCCCGCCCTACCCCCGGGGGTCATGATTTGAACAGTTTAGAATGTACATTACTTGAGAATGCTTCCACCTAAGTTTCAGTTTTTTTTTGGCCCACTGGTTCTTGAGAAGAAGATTTTTTAAGATTTTTCCTTTATATTTCAATGTAAAACTTGGATTTCCTATTGTGGTCCCGCCCTACCCCGGGGGTCATGATTTTAACAATTTTGAATCTACACTATCCCAGGATGCTTCCACATAAGTTTCAGCTTTTTTGGCCCAGTGGTTCTTGAGAAGAAGATTTTTCAATGACCCCACCCTATTTTTGTCTTTTCTTGATTATCTCCCCTTTTAAGGGGACATGGCCCTTTATTTTAACAATTTAAGCTCCCCTTTACCCAAGGATACTTTGTACCAAGTTGGTTAAAATTGGCTCAGTAGTTCTTGAGAAGTTGAAAATGTGAAAAGTTTACGAACGGACAGACGGACGACGGACAACGGGTGATCAGAAAAGCTCACTTAAGCTTTCAGATCAGGTGAGCTGAAAAGTGGAATGCGAACTCACGGCCTTCCAATCACGGAGCAAGCGCTCTACCGACTGAGCTACCGAGACTGCACATAACTTGTAGAAGGTAGCGGCATTTATATCTTCTTTATATTTTTTGTGATATGACCTTTGTAAAATTGAACTTGAAATATTTTTGGGAGAGCTACGAATCTTGTGTCATTAAAGTGTATTTCAAAGATAGATTGGGTCATTGCTCAATGCTTCTATCTAAAATATATTTTTGAAACATACGAGGGTTGTCCGGTAAAATCCTGGACAAAGCCTTTTTCTCGAAAAATAATGGGCGCACTAAACTGAAATTTTCAGCAATTGTTTATTTATTATATTTAAGTGCATCGTAATTTTTTTGGATAAAATATAGACAAAAATAGAGTTTATTATGCTTGGATGTACACAGGGTACGGTCCTAGGGCGCACGATCAAATAACCAGGATTTCATTTGCGAGTACATGAGTATTATTTTGAAATAAAAGTACTAAATAGAAAAGGTTGGGGTAAAACCTATCATATTTTTAATCCAGTATTTCTTATATCGTCTTTTGTAAAAATTCAAGGCATTTGCTTAAATTTTGGCAGTTTCCCGAGCATTTGAAACGGGAAAGAGGTAAACGCAACAAGCGACGTTTGGTGACGTAACGGCGCACCGAAGAGCAGTTTCGTTTAATCTAGATGTAGTAATGACGCCCTAAGAAACTTGAAATGACTACTGATGAAAAAAATATATATAAATATTACTAGATCTTCAATATACAAGTTAAATGGGAGTTTTCCAAGCAAAGGCATTTTGACTGGGTCCCCAAGTGGAACAAAACATACGGACAAACAGCTACTGGCAATAGCAAAAGACGCTGTCACTGTAGACCGTCGATATACGATTGTCTATTTAGTTGAATGATAGTGAGAGTACTGTCCATAACCAACAAATAAATCTTCAGAAGGTCTAATGTGTGTGCGAGATGGTTTCCTCGACTGTTTATGGAGGAATAAAGGGAAACTCGAGTATGTGCATCAATTAAATTCCCGAATATAAGTGGGGCTTATACAACTTTTTTTTAGCAAAGAGGAAACATGACGCTGCTTTAGACACTTTGACGTTATCATCCGTGCGCCGTAAGGCGATACCACACATAACATAGTCTAACATAGTCTAATATTTTGTTTATTTGAGCACATATCTATTTAGAATTTGCTATGTATATTGATGAAAAGTGTAGTAGAAAATAGTGAAATTTTAGAACGTAATGATGATTATTTTTTCACTCTAGACAACTTGTCCACGATTTTACCGGACTACCCTCGTACATATACTTTGAAGGGTTACTTTCAAACAAGTCTCTGATGAGACTGTTGGTCTACTGGTGTGTATTTATGATAAAGACGAATCTATTTGTACCGAGTCTAATTAAAATCTGACTGAGACTGTAGAAGGGACAAAACTCTCCAAAATCCCCGGCCTGGTATGTGATAGAGTAGATACATCTAAACCATCCTGAGTTAAACTAAAAATGCCGAAGTTTCTCCCAATATGTTGTTGAAAGCAATGTGTTACAATGTTTCAAATCTCACAATCCCTAACCTATGACATCGCTCAAATATGACTTCAAAGCTTATTACACTATGCTATGAAAAGAAGAGGCAAAGGAAATTGAAAGGAAATCGGCTGTGAGATAGGAAATTTATATTGTGTATCAAAATCTTCGGTCTACCGACATTCATTTCTTGGGACTTCAGACCATGTTTATTTCTTCAACATATCTGCGCACGCGTAAAATAAGGAGGAGGAAGAAGTGACACAATATTTTCGTCTTGGGTCGAATAAAAGTTTTTTTTCTTTTTAAAAGATTTCATGGTTCTGTAATCTGTAATTTCCTGGAACTTAATACTTTCCAAACCTGAACAAAATTTGAATGCGCCTTGCAAAAATTTTATTTTAGTCAATTTTCCCGATTTCGTGTCGCAATGTCGCTTTAACTGAAATAATACAGAAACCTGTGTTATAAATGAGATTTGATTTTTCAGCCTCTTATAGGCATTTTCTAGGCTTGATCACCCATCTTCTTTCGAGAGCCAAAAACTTTAATCAGTTAGACAATGCAGCGGAAACAAATAAGAAAATCTTAGTCACACCAAGCTTCAAAATGTGAAATACCATTTACAATAACATCTAAAAGTACAGCGCAAGGGTCTACTTTATTGGTAATTGTTGTCTCAATACTTTAAATAATGACTGTTAGTAGACAAGTTGGTTTAGTGCCGAATCAAAATACAAGAGACTTTTATGTACATCTTTCTTGTTTGCATATAATTGTTCTTTAGAATCATCAACAATATTTGATTACACATTAATTGAAATATATAACTTATTTTAAGCGCATGTTTGCTATTATTTTAATACATAACATTTCCAGCTGTGTAGAATTGCTTACGTAGTAATGCGTTGAAATTAAGCCGAAGAGAAATGAATAAAACCACCAATATACAAGTAAAAATATGCAATATAATATGAATACAAATACATAAGAAAAATAATTTGGATAACACGTTTATTTACATAGATCTCGTTGTGTGATTGTATTTCCTAGACTCAAAGATACAATGCACAAATCCTCTCTTTTATATTCCTACATATGGAGCACTTTAACATTTTAAAAGTAATTTGTTCGTTTGTTATGTGCCATTATATGGATAAATCATCAGTAATGAATATAACCATTTATCAGATAGTATTTAGCAGGAGTTATTCAATTATCTGCCGTACTTTGTCACAAAAGCTAAAGAGACTGGAGTGACGTATATCCAGATAATTATAGATTTGACCTTTATAGTCTCATAGGACCTTAGTAATATAAACTGTCATGGTTTGTGTCCTCTAGATAACTAATTCCTCAATAATATTATTATTTAACATTGTAAAGTAGTGCATCATCGTACAGAACAAAGGATCGACCATCATTTTAGAAGATAATGTTTTTGTTCTGTGACCATTTACATTTTTGTTGACTAAGATTCATTCATGATAACCGCGATTTAGTATCTTTTTCATTTTTCAGTAATAAGCCATGTCGATAATAAAAGAGTCATGTGCAACTCCCATATATGTAGACGTACGACGCATGTAAAAGGCTTAACAAATAATTCTTTGAATTGAGTAAGTTTAATTTGTAAAATAAAATGTCTTCGACTTTGATTGTGAATCAAGTTAACATAATAGAAACCAATTCTCTGGTTTTGGGAAATAGCTAGGAAAGTACAACTTTCTTTAGATACATATATCTGAAATAGTCATCTCCGGATACTTATAACTAGAAAGGTAAGAATACACAGTTATCTAAGGATACTTTTATGTATGACTGGAAATGTCAATTATCTCAGGATACTCACAACAATTTAATTTTTGGATACATTTAACTGAAAAAGTCAGTTATTTCTGGATATTTTTGGATAGACTTTACTGGAATAGTCAGTTATCTCTTTATATTTACAGCTGTAATATTTATTTCTGGGTAATTAATTTTAACTGGAGTAGTCAGTTATTTCCTGATTTTATTACTGGAACTGTAAAAATATACTTAAATGATGTCTCTGGGGTTTTGAATGCAATGAGTTTTTATTTTTTACCTCGCGTCATACAACTGAGTGAACATAATTAGAGTTCTTACCTCCATAAGCATTTTCGATCTCATTCACAAGTAAATCATCAAGATCGACTTCCGTATCTAATTTGAAGTAATCACTAGTTATATTTGAGTTGTCCGAGTTCAGATAATCGTCGACGGCTTTACTCAAAAAGTGACAATAATTTTCATACAAATCCTGTCCTTTTCCTTCAGAAATAATTTTCAATTTTCTCCAAGAAAAATAGTTAATTAAATGTGTTACATACTCGGCAACATTGTTAAAATTCACAGGGCCAGCACGTATTAAAGAGGAGTAATCCTGTCTCCTATATTCAAGGAAATCAGACGCCATTGCTCCTACAGAAACGAGTGGGATATTCCAGTTTTGGGCCTGAAAATTAAATTAAAATTAAAAAACAGTAAATTGCACCAAGAGTCATATATTCAAATGTGCATGATATTATATGAAATATAGAAACCTAGGAATTAATTACATAGGAAAAATGGCAGCCTGTAAGATCTTTTGATTTATTTTTTTCTGTTGTCATTGCTTGTTTTCTTTTTGTTATTCAATTTAAATATATAAAATAGCTACATCATTTACGACATCCATCTCTGCTTATTATGTATACGATTTTTACAGATGTTTGGGAATTATTTTTCTTCCTCGAAACCTATGTATGAAATGATGGAAAAAGATTCTTTGAAAACCATGTCAGATCTACAAGATGTGTGAAATTCTTATAGCTAAAATCATTGAACCGTGTATGTATTTGAATATACTGTATGATATTTATACATAAATAAATGAATAAAAAAGGCATTATTGAAGCTTGATTAATGATTCCTAACTTTGTTTCATGTCCCTTATTCTTCTAAATCTATTTCAAAAACCACATTAAATAATTAAAAATTATTATTAAGTAAGACAACAAGTTCTTATATGTTATATTCTTTAAAAATAAAGTACTTTAAGCATGTAAAAAAACACAATTTTACTGCTAAACATCAACATGATAGTACATACTTTGACTTTCTTTAAATTTCTGTTTCTTACTTGGGATTTTTATTCTGATTCTTTTAAAAATAATTTACCCCTTAAAAAAAGAACGGATTCAAATACTTAATTATACAGAGAAAAAAATGTTTACAATTTGACAAAATTGTGTGGTTTTTTTGTACTGAAGTTTCCTTAAAAACTTCCCACCCGGGGAAGTAAAAGAAAAATAAATTTACTTTGGTCTTGTCCTTTCTATGTCGATGACACCAATTTTGACACAGTGCTATAGATCAGGGCCCGGTTGTTCAAAAGGTGGTTAAATTTAACACAGTGTTATCTCTGTGCTAACAAGTGTGTTAAATTTAACCACATGATTAAGTGTTGTTCAAAGGTGTGTTTGTGTTAACAAGGTGTTAAATCTGTGTTAAATTTAATCCACCTACGGTAGGTAGATTAAGAAGTTAACACCGTGATTAAATATGGCCGCTAATTTTCTTATTCATCCGCCTGGACCCAGAAAACAGCGTGTTTTTAGACTACACACAAATATAGACGGTTGGTCTGATGAAGAATTAAGAAGAAGGTACCGATTTGGTCAACATGGCATAAATTTTATTGGGGATGTCATCAGAAATGATTTAGAAAGAGCCACTAAAAGGAACAGCGCACTTAGCGTCCAAAATCAAGTAATGATAACCTTGCGCTACCTTGCAAGTGGTAGTTTTTTGCAGGTTGTCGGGGACACCCTAGGTACAATTAATAGAATACAGTACATACACTATGTAAATGTTAAAAATGAAGTTTAATTAAAGTTAAAAATAATAATGACACAGTGCATGGAAAATTTCATGGGTATATATCGCATGTATTAAACGTAAAACGCGGATTAAATAGTCTATCCATAATGAAAAAAATATATACAGATTACTCAAATTTGAACAGGGTTTGACAAAAGTACAGTCTCTCGCACCGTTAAAAGAGTCACAGAAGCACTGGTTGCTAGAGCTGACACATTTATAAAATGGCCCGACGCAACAGCAAAGTCTACTATCAAAACGGGCTTCTACCGGATGGCAGGTTTCCCCAATGTAATCGGGTGCATCGATGGGACTCATGTACGGATCCAGGCCCCTTCACACGACGAAAATTCCTTCGTGAATAGGAAAGGATTTCACAGCATCAATGTCCAAGCTGTATGTGACCACGAAGGTATCTATCACTGACCTTTCAAAGGCCCCTTGTGTCATTTTCGTTCGATGTTTTTTTTTTTTTAATGTCATAAAATTTATAATTTCTAGATACAATGAATTCAGAGGTTTTTCAATCCTCCTTCTACAATCCCTCTTTCATTATTATCGTATTAGTTGTACATTCAATGTTTTAAATGATTTTTTAAAGTGATATATGCATGTAATTTAGATTAACCTCCCCTTCGAAAAATAATGTGGCGGATCCAACCTTTGATTATTTATTTCACTACAATCAAGAAGACATCATTGTATTGGGACTGGACCCTACATGTACAAGAAAATAAATTCAATTTCATTTTTTTAAATAAAAATTAAAAAAGAGATTCATATCAGAATTTAAATATTAAAAATAACAGGGATCTATATACTAACGTTAGTATATAGGTCCCTGAAAATAATTTAAAAAATAATTAAAGTCCTATATGCCTTTCTTTATATACAATCTAGTCTTGATATATTTGTTCATTGAATTTTTTTTAATTATTTGGTTTCTGAATTTACAACATAGAATTTGGGACATGCAAGTACTTTCACATGGAATTTTTAGGTAATTAAAATGGGGTCCTATTACCTGTATAATAGGTATCTGATTATTTATTACCACTGCAATATATCTTGGTAAAATATATAAAATTGACCTTTGATTTATAGGAAAATTGAGAAACTGAATTATTTTGCACATTAATCAGCTCCAATCCCTATACTAGTGCAAGCTTTGAAAAAAAAAATCCTGAAACATGCATGATCAATAATAATTATTATGTTTCTCTTGACTAGTAGAATGTTCCATTATTAATAATAATATATTGTATTTAAATGAAAAACAGAAATTTTAAAGAATAAAGCCTGTCCTCCATATTTATATTGCTATTAAATCATGCACCACCTGTCCCCCCCCCCCTTCCTCACACAAAGTGTGTTTTAAATCAATTCAGTTACATTAAACTGAATATTATAACATTTATTGCAGGAAAGCTTACAAACATCAATGCATCTTGGCCTGGGTCTGTACATGATTCCCACATCTTCAGAACATCACAGGTATTGAAGTAATATCAGGGACCTATAGGTCCCTGGTTATATATTTATGATATTTTAAGAATGTTCTTCACCATGCAACACATGTCCTCACTCTCTCTCTCTCTCTCTCTAACTTCCATAATCTCTCATATTAGAGGCACATTATATCTCTTTCATGATTTTTATCTCTCTTTCGTTCTCTCATCATATGCATTAATATTTAGAGTCTAATGACTATTAGATTTTGGAGGTTGATTTGGAATATTGCAATCTAGCATAAGAAAAGCCTGATAATATTTATTTAATTATCAGATCAGAACATATTTGGAGGAGGAGGAGAATGGTCTATTTGAAAATGGAGTTTTGTTGGGAGACAGTGGATATGCTTGCAGACCATTTCTTCTAACTCCTTATGCCAATCCCCAGAATGAACCTGAGGAGAAGTACAATCAAGCCCATGCAAGAACGAGAAGTGAAATTGAGCGCACCTTTGGGCGACTTAAGCGGAGGTTTCATGTTCTCCACTCAGAGGTATCTTAATATTAAACATTCTAGTATATTTTTCACCAACATTTAATAGTGCAATTTATAGTGAAAGAAATTATATTTCATGCCCATTTTTTTTTTTTTTTGTATACATGTAAATTTACACTTCAAATGCATTTTGATTTGTATAGATCCGAATGAAACCTGACAGGGCATGCAGAATCATCATAGCATGTGCTGTCCTCCACAACATCGCCATCAACCTTGGAGAGCCTGAGGATGAGGATGAAGTTGAAGAGGACCAGCCCCAGATGCCTGCCTTTCAAGGCCCTCAAGATGGAAGAGGAGTGCGGGACTATGTGAAGCAGCATTACTTCAGCTAATAACTGTTTTTTTTAACATTTAAAGAATTGTACCCATAATAGGATTTAAATTTCATATTATTATAATTATCCCTTAGGCCATGAAATATGCTAAAAAATATTATGAAGCATCAATAGTAGAAAAGGAATAAATTACCAAAACAATTCCATGGAAAGAGATTGATTCATTTAGTTATTAAGAGTGTCTGATTTCATTGACCAGTGTTTTTGTATACTTCACTTTCTATATTATGATTAAAATCAAGAGGAGATAACTCTTCAATAACAGGTCAATTTTAAGGTCACCAATTAATGCACACATACTCAAACACTATATACCAATAGTTTAAATGTAAATATTCATATATATATATAAATATATATATATAGAGAGAGAGGGAGAGAGAGAGAGAGAGAGAGAGAGTATTGAAACAAGTAGTATATGTCTGATATGCATAGAGTTAATTAAATTTATTTTTTATAGATTAATACATGTACCTTAAATAAGAATGATAGAAAACTTTATATGTAACATTTTATTTAACCAGTGATAATTGTACCAGTTTAACAATTGTATACACAGGTCAACAAAGGTATAAAGATAAAATGGATACCTTAATTAATATAATATTATGCTGAATGCAACAAACAGGTAACAGGTAAACTTTCCACTCCAAATATCACAATATAGCTAGCATGTTCTGAAACAATTAAAATTTGCACTGAATTCATACAGTGAAACAAAGTTTTAAGCACATTCCATAACAATAAACAGTTACTGGTAACTGTAAGGAACAATACAAACAAGCAAATTTAGAGAATCATGGTCTCCCACTCTTGATTTACAAAAAAGATTTTTAAAATTTTGAATTAAGGTACTTATATGTAGTACAAAACACCCATGAAATCCTTTTTACCTCATTTTTTATCAATTACACAAGAAAAAAAAAGAATGATATCACTATATTGTCAATAATCTATGATCTTTGAGAGCATACATGTATTTTGTTTAAAAATGTTAGAGACATTCTATATATTGGTCACTTGGGACCCTACATTTTAAATATGTGTTTATGCAATATAAATGCAGGCCCATAGAAAGTGTTGGGCTGGCCCCCTCACTTTTATCAGAGTATAGTATTTTGCTATAGTAAATTATAGTGAATTTTAGTATACTAAAATTTTCTTGAGATGCTGGTCCCCCCCACCCCCCATCATTTGCTGCTCTATGGTCGAGTACTGGCAAATTCCAGGATTTTGACAGTTCAATGGAAGATCACGTCTGATATTTGGACATATATATAAGGAGTCTTCCTTCTTTATGTACAATAAAGGTTAAGGTTATGTTAACAGATCAAAGGTCAAATATTGTGGCATCAACTACTGAATCTTTAAAATTTTTGGTATTGATTTTTTTGTTTAAACTGCCAAAATATCTGAAAAGAATGGTTCAATTTCCACATTTTGACAGTCATTATAATCTGATATCCATTTCCATCATTTTGTTGACTTTTTATAAAAATGAATACATGTAATACATTTTCTCTAAAGAGAACTTAAAGTGTAGGATATTTACATGTGAATTTTCAATTCTGGGAGAATGTATGTTTCTATTTTTATATCACATTTTACTAAAATTTATCAAATATCAATAACACAAATAATGCACATATGAAAAAAAGTGAAAGGACATCTCTTCTGGAGCAAAAGTTGTGGCCAAAGTTAAAATTTTTGTAACAGACTGACGGACGGACAGATGAATAAGATTCAATTTCCCCTAACCTTTGAAAGTGGGAGGCATGCAATAATGAATATGAATGGAGATGTTTATATACATTCACTTTAGGGTGAAAAATTAATTAAATTAAGATTGGGTGAGTCCTACTCCTATAGTTATATGCAGATATCAGAGACTAGGGGACTAAGTACATGTAATAAATGGAAAGCTTGGCAGTTATAATATTAAAGCATTATTTGGTTTACATGAAGGAGGCAAAGAGCTCTGTCTGGTCATAATCCTGTTTTTTAAGAATTGAATGAAGAAGTTGAATTTGCAGATCCAGCTTTTCCTTTTCCTTCTTGATCTTCTCTTTCTCCTCCTCAAGCACTTCACACTGCAACCTGTAAACATCTTCCACTGACTTTTTCCCACACTTGCGCTTCTCCCTGAAATAATTTTGATTTTTCAATAAAATAAATCACTTCTTTTCTTTGAAAAAAAATCTAAATAGACAATGTGTGATTTTTATAAGGAAATGTATTCTGACATTGTATGTTATAGTGAGATAGTCATGAGTACGGTAGATTTAGTCTATTAATTTTTATGACTATTTTATGTACTTTATACAGATACTGCATGTAAATGTATATATGGAATAAAAAAATGTAGATATAAAATTGTCAACATTTTTTTTTCTTTATTTTTTGTGATACTCTTGTACAATTTATATACTGGTCCAGTACAGGTATGAGAAAGGAAAATTTAGAGAGAGAGAGAGAGAGTAACCTTACTTCTCCTTTCCTTGATATGGATACTGCCTTGTGTCTCTACTACAGCTAGGCAATGCTGTTTAAAATAAACATGAAATCAGTCAATGTTTAGCTTCAAGAGGGGATTGGTGCATTTAAATTGCTACAGTTTCATATAAGAAAAATATGAGTATCCAATCTAATTTATATAATTGTTGTAATTAAACATGCCTCTCACAAGGAAATGGACCTGAGTATCATCCTTGGTCTTTATACCGGTAAATTAATTATAAGTCTTTCTGACTCTTAAATTGTTGTCCCCTTCTTTTACTTAATTTTTAATTTTTTTTCTTGCTTAAGCAATTGAGAGCCTGACAAATATTTAATTATATAGCTGCAATTTACATGAACTTGGTTGTTTTGGTGGACTAGGTGGGGAAAGGGGTTCCTCTAAGGGCGTCTCCATGACAATGAAAGCTTGACTTGCTGAGATAGGGGATTGGGAGGGCACAGGAAGGTCCTCACAAGCATCTTGCCATATGTCCATATCATGTTGATCCTTAGTTACAGTCTGAGTGGGAGATGCTGCCATGGAGGATAATACTATAGAAAACAAATATTCATTATTAGTCATTTTTATACACATGGGTAGTGTGTGGCTTCAGCAGTACTTGCAGCATAAATTCATCAGATTATTTATTTATATATTTGTTTAAAATTATAATTACTTTTTATAATTAGTACACATATATATTGTATGAGTGAAAATATGATTAATATATAATTTTCTATAATCTACACATGTATATTTATTATTCATTTATTTATTTTTCATCATTTTGTTTGTTTTTGATTTCTTTGGGTTTTTTTTTCCTGATATTTGTTTTTTTTCTTTCCTTCTTTCCTTCTCTCTTTTTTAATCGATACAAACCCACATGTATAAATATGCATTTTTGAGATCAGAAAAATTTCAAAACCTTTTTTGCTTAGAGTGACAGAGTTGTCCTAAGGAAAAGACAAAGCAAGAATTCAACATTGGGGACTCCCCCCCCCCCCCCCCCAACCACCCCAAGGGAATTTTGTTTATTAGTTGGGTATTACTTCTCTTAAAATTCATTTATACCCCCTCCATAATAACACCATGTTTACTAAAACATTGGGTGAATGTAGTTTTTGAGGCTCTTCGGATTTAAAAAAAAAAAAAAAAAAACTTGGATCCACTCCGATTCACGAACGTCAACAATCCACGTGTCTTGATTTCGCATTTGATCTCCGTACCTCCAATCTTCACATTTACATAGTTAAATTACTACGAGCACATATTTAATCTTATCTAAAATAATTAAATGTAATCATTCAAGATATAAGAAACATATTTTGTGCGAAGCTAATCAAACTTTTAACATGGAAAAAATTAGAAAGATGAAAGCACATGGTGATGGTGAGTTCGCCTCTTATTTTTCATTTTGACCTTAACAACACAAATGAAAGCTTAAAAAAGAGAATGTTAAGATCATTATTCATTCTTTAAAACTAAAAAACTACATTTTCGTTCACAATCCTACATGCATAGTAAATGTTATGATTATTTTCGATTTGCATATCCCCATGAAAAGGTCAAGGTCGTGTAAATGTGTAAACAAAATCGAAAGAAGGTTAGGAAACTTGTCAATATACCTATTCAAACACATAATTATAAAAATTTATTAGGCCTATTAAAAGAAGAAAAACAACAACAAAAATAAAATACCCAATCATTTTTAGGTCTAAAATATAGATTTTAACAATAAGATGTCATTTCTTCGAGCAGACGAAAATGTTCCTTGTTATTTTGACACATATCACTGTTTTGTTCAAATTAAATTACAAAATTTTAGGTCAAAGTAGTATTTTATATTGAATTAATAAAGTATTATTATATAATGAGTTAAATAGAGTAAAATCTTTGAAATGTGTGTACAGTGTCACAATGTGTGTATAACTGTATTGTTGGTGTAATATGAACACTGTTATAATCTTTTTACTTTATTTTATTATTTAATAAACATAAAATATAGAGATAACGAGCACATTAGATAAAAATTTGTTATTTAACACATAAAAGCCATATTTTACCAGAACATCCAGGCATTGAAGTTTCAATGCCCCCTTCAATCCCGTGGAAGGAACTGGCATCCCTGTACATGTCCACCACATCCTGCATTGTTTGGGAAAGAGGGGTAGGTGGAGGCCCTCCTCCTGTTTTTGTCATTTGTCTCCTGTTTTCCGTAAATTTCAATTTTGCTTCCCGACACATATTACGCCATTTATCTTTGACTTCTGTCAAACTCCTTTTTGCCACCCCCACAGCATTGACTTTTCTAACAATTTCAAGCCAAATGGCTTGCTTCTTAGCATTAGTAACAGTATTACTATGTTTTGCCTCCAGAATAGGATGGAGTTTCACCTGATTTTTAATATTTCTATCTCTGTTAATGAGAAATTGGTGCTTCTTGCTTTCCTGTTCTTTTTTGAGCAGACGATGTCAGGATTGTCAGCCATGATTGTTTACAAAGGAAGAGAGGTGCATTTTGGGTAATCAAGTGGTTATTGAGTGATTAAGCAGTGAACACAATGTTAACACAGTGTTAGCTAACCATTGCGTTAAATTGCTTTTGAACAACAGAATTTAACCACTGCGTTAGCTAATCAAATGATTAAGGTTTAACACATAGTTATCCTTAACCACTGTGTTAAATTTAACCACCTTTTGAACAACCGGACCCAGACATTTAAATAATCGTCAATTAAGCAGTAAAGGACAGTCAATTATTAATTCTTTCAGTGAATCATGTTCAATATATTCAATTTACCGAGACATTTTTCGGTAAATAAAAAATGGCGTTCCTGCACTGAAACTTCACTTGATTTTGTCTTTATGCTCAAAATATGTATGCATTTATATTTATATATCTACTTAATTAACTCATTTTGTATTTCTCTTATATATTTAAGGAACATTATATAAACATTTGATCTGTAGATGTTTATTAGTAAAGCATTGTTGTCATCTCTCTCGAGAGATGACACATTAAGTTTGTTACCCGGACATGAAGCCCCAGTGTAAGCTGCCATTGATAAGCTGGTGGTCTGGCAAATGACACGATTTCTAAATATAGAGATGTAAACAAAACTGCTAAATGACAAAGAATGGGGGCGATCTGTCAAACAGGCCATTTTAAAAAAGAAAAACTATACACATTAATCATAGAGAGTCACAGAGACAGAATCGCTTGGATAGTGGTGGGTCTTCAGAATACATGCAGTTATCTGATCATGGTCAGCATGGTCAGCGTGTGTGTATCAATGAATTTATTCTCATAAACTGACATTAAGTACAGTGTAGAGACACATTACAAATATAGTTAAGCATATGTGCATGCGTGAAACAGAAAAAGTACAAAGTCAAAAAACTAACAATGACCTAACCAGGAGAGCCAACTCTCTCACAGATAATTTTTATAAATTTACACAGTTTTATCAATTTAACTGGTTTTTTTTTGTATCAGAATGCACTAAAGAACGGCCAAGGCGTGGATCAAAGTATTTACAGAAAAACAAAGTGGCGGGTCTTCAAATAGGCTGTTACGTAAATGATGGCTAGCGCGTGTGTATCAAAGTACAACATGGCATCGATTAGATCAGCCAAGGCGTGGATCCAAGAATTTACAGAAAAACAAAATCAAAGTAAATACTCGCATTAAAAGTTTAAATACGACTGTTGATGTCGAAAATTTTATCTTTACGTGTATCTTAGTCATTCAATAACTTGATGCCATTTTTAAAAATATTTTTTTTTTAAACAAATAGTAAATGTTAAAACTACTGGCATTGGAAGAAAGATTAATATAATCATCGTGAGTTTTTACGCATGTCTGCACTATTCTTTGTTTTTTGCTCTATAAAAAATAAATGTCAGAAATACAATATTGTTACCTCTGTATAAAAGACGCAATTTCTTTACCCGACTCGTATTTTGAGAATTTATAATTATAAAGCACCTGCAATCATTTTCTCTGTGTAATTTTAATTGCATTATTGGTAAATGGCAAAAAGCAATCAAATCGCGTCTCTTATTCTTGAAATATTATTATATAAAATGATTGTTTCCTTGAACAGCCTAAATATCAGGGTTGGTAAATTGGTACTCTTTCAGATAATTTGTAAATGCATAATTTTAGCTTATAACGTTTAAATTTTATTACTGACCTATATTTAAATGCATGTGAGGGTTATTTCTTTGGATAAGCCATATATTTAAAAGTGGAAAATCTTTCGAAATCAACTGAGGGCCGGTGTCGTATAGTGAGACTTCTCCCATAGTGAGACTTCCCCCGGAAGGCTGGCTATATAGTGAGATATCCCCCGGGAAGACTGGCTATATAGTGAAACTTCCCTCCGGAAGATCGACTGGCAATAGAGTGAGACTTCTCCCGGGGAGGTCTCACTATATATTAGCCTGTCTCTCCCCCCTTTCATAGTGAGACTTCCCCTCAAATGTAGTTTCCGGAATATTTTATTTCATTGTAAAACAATATTTTTCAGTATATGAATAAAAGTCTCCATTAATTAATAATTAAAACATCTTAATAGCCTTTTAACAGTTTGTTCTCCAAAAATAATTTTTGGATGACATGTACATGTATATTGATGTGAGATAACTGAATGAAAAATGTACGTTTTTGTTACAAGTATACATCTTTCTTTACTACATTGTGTTTATTGCATTCTCCATGAAGGTTAACATAAGCAAATTCCAAGAGTCCACGAGTAATGATCTCTTAAATGTTAAATGTATTTCTTTTGATAAGAATCATTTTGGAACGATTGATTTACTGCGCGCGATAAATTTTTATGCGCACTTCTACATTTATTCATACATGTATCTATTTTATAAGATCATAATCAAAATGCAAATATATATACATCGTCGATGTAAATAAAATACAACTGAACATGGAAGGGGGAAGCCTAACTATGGTCGTTTAAGGGGGAAGGCTCACTATATAGTAATTCTCCACCCCCCACCGGGGAGTCTTACTATATATAGCCAGGTTTCCGGGGGGGGGGGGGGGGGAGTCTCACCATATTACACCGGACTAATTCAGGTTAGCTAGGAACGCTAAGGTTTTACCCATCTTCTTGTATAACAATTGTTTACAAATTTTACGAATACTGCTCAGTGGTAACACTTAAACACATATACAAAAAAATATTTGAAATTACTGCAAATGTCCACTGAAAGGCAGCTTGCCTCTCCCTTCCCCCCCCCCATTTTTTGTTGCAACATATTCATACCCCTCCCCCCCCCCATTGTGTTTTTCGAGAAACTCAAAAAGTTTAAATCTTCCCTCCCCATCCACGAAATAAGAATTTCGAGTTTGAACACCCCCTTTTTTTCCTAGTGTTAGATTATTCAGATAAGTTGTAATTTTTTTTTCTGACTCCCCCCCCCCCCCTTTTTTTTTGGAAAAAAGTTCTTCTGCTTGTAATCGCTGAGGAAAAAAATGTTACATTCCACTGTCTATTAATGAAGCCAAAGAGATGACATTTCAGGCTTTCTGGAAAGCCAAACTTGTATATGTATTGAAAACGATTTTTAGTAATATTTTATTTAGTATGAGTGGTGTCTCACTCAAAGTCTGCCTATAGTACATGTTCGATTAAGACTTGTTCACTTTTACCAATTTACCTTACACTCCAAGCTATAAAAAAAAAATAAAATAAAATCTTCTGCAAAGTTCGCTAAAGGAATGTTAAAACATAATTGTCGAAAACATGTATTATCGCTTCATAAATTGTACAATCTGGTTACCATTCTAGCAAGTTGGGCGACGGCGTAGTCACACACAGGACCAAAAAAGGCGTGGACAGTTCCCATCTGATGAAAGTTGTTGCCTTTGATCACTCCAATATTCATGTCAAATTTGGTGTCTGCATACCTGACGTTAAACTTGACATCGGGAAGTAAAGTATTCTGGACATGCGCAATTCCCATTTCTAGTGCCGGAAGCAGTTTACCTGAAGAAAAAGGGTATCGCGTGTCGTTTGGTAGCAGGAGCGCTATATTTACCTCCGTCTCACACTTCACAGAGGAAACCATGAAAGTCATTAGACACAGTATTAACATGGTGTTTTAAACTATCCGAACAGTTTATAGACTGTCTTCTACACAATCAAATTCATGGATAAATAAAGAATCCAGTTTAAAACGTATATTATGCGATGTCAAATTATGATTTTTTTTAAATGTACTTATTCCAAATTCTATAATTTTCATAGAATACACAAATTCCACATTCCTATCATAACAAATGCATGATCATGAAAACAATTCTTCAACAGGACGAAGAGATAACATGAACTGATATTAGCTCAATAACATAGGCTAAAAATAGACGGAAATAGATGCTGGGGAAAAGCCGTTAAGCGAATGAACTTTTCAGCGGAGTGAGGGGCTCCATCAGGGATCAAATTTGTGTGTATAGATCAGAGAGTGAGAAACACGAAAGAGTAATCAATTTGATTGTACAATGCAAGTGACGAGGGATATTCTTCAAAACGTAACAAGTAAAAATTATGTAATAGGTTGAAAATATATTTGGATGTGAAATAAAATGGATTTTGATGAAAAGAAGTATTATGAAAATAATGGAGCAGATTTTAGAGAGAAAACATATATGATAGGCAACTTAATAAAAACAGGAACGGTATCCGATACAGAATTTGCCCATGTCCATTACTTATGAATATAGATAAATTCTTTGTATACATGCACACTTTGTATTTTTTAACCATTAAAGTTTAGAAGGTTTATTAAATTTGTTAATATGTTTTCTTTACCCTAAATGAACTGTGATGAAAAGTTCAGTTTATGCCCTAACATCCGCAGCAAACGTTTTCAAAGGGGATGGGTGCAGGACAGGGGCAGTCCCAAAAATGTTGTGACAAGCAATTAAAAAAAAAATAAATGGCTGACTCGAACATCTCTCTTACTCTAACTTCTCGGCATTTTCTTACTATGGAAGAAATTGCCAGAGTTCGACAATACCAGGCCACGAAGTATCAAGGGGAGGGGGGGGGGCTGCCCCACCCACCCGCATTTTTCTATACATAACCTTTCCTTTTACTGTTGAAAATGTTAAGTAAAAGACTGATCCCCCCTCCCCCCTTACGTTTTTTTTTTTTTTAGTTTTTTTTTTAAGTATAGTCAAATCAGGGTAATGAGGTGATATGTGAATTAATTTTTTGAAAGAATCGAAATCTATATCCCGAATATGGACCTTTTTCTTTTGCTTGCTTGGCAAATTTTTCAAGTAAGTTGCATTTCTTCCCGTCCCCTCCTTTCAAAAACGATACAAAGTTCCTGAATTCTTAGACTTCAAAAGGAAAAGAGGTCAAGTAGACTATACATGAAAGTGCCCCCACCCCTATTTGTACGGTCCTGTCGCATGACTCAGTTTTACAATTTACCCCACCTCTGATGATTTTTCGATGAAATTCTGGCCTATGATTGGTTGAATATCATCTGTGTGTGTCATCAATGTTGGACAATCATCAATAATTTTAACTTTAAAATGTTTGTATTTTTCACATCAGACGTGTTTAAATATGTTATTTGAAGTGTTGTTATAAATTACATTTTCGTTTTGTTATAAATGTCCATTTGTTGTAAACTTAATTGTTAAATGTTCTGAATTAATATGTTTTGTCTCTGATTTAAAGGGATAATTTGTTATACTCATATCCATAGGTACTCTGTTATACGTGTATCCGACATATTCTTGAGATTTCTACTTTTGAATTGTTAATATTTATTTATCAGAAATTGTCGAATACATTATTTTTACTGTAGTTATTTAATATACAAATGTTTATTTGTTATTGTTAAATGTTCAATAAAATTATAAACTTCAATCTGAGTTGTAAAGACACTAATATACCCAGGTTGTAAGCTTGCATGACAGTAACTTAAACTTTATAAAGCAAAGCTATTTAGTCATCGGTTGGGTAAATACGTTACATAGTCATTTAGTGACCTGGTACGGGATGATACCTGGTTAGTATATTTCATACCTGGCGAGGCGAAGCTAAATCATCGGCTAGGCAGACTGCCTAACACGAAGACTAATTGTCTCAAATAATGTAGATATGCAAGCCATCAAAATCATTAGTCCATGTGCATTTATATCTTATTTCGTCATAGGTTTAACGCGGCGCGGCGAACGAGAATTGAACCCCGGCCTCCAAATAACGAAGCGAACGTCCTAATGTTGTACCATAGTGCGTACATTTGAGATTTGATAAAATCACAAAGATTCTGATGTTTATTTATTTTTTTTTTTTGAGTTTACTCAATTTATGTCTTACGTATACACAGGTCCATGTCCAGTCTATTATTATTTTTTTTTAATAATGTCCTTAAAAGATTTTCCGTTGTGGGAGAATAATTCAGCACGTTTCCTTGTTAGTGCCTCCTTTACAAGGATCTTGTTCGAGCTTTAAATTCCTTTTTATGAATTTATAAATGATTATGAAATGAATTATAATCGATATTACAGGGACGCTGATTTTTTTTATCTTGAATATTGGTTTCGTGTTAGGCAGTCTGCCTAGCGGATGATTTTTCTTCCGGTCAATATCCTAGTTTATGTCTTCAATGTCAAGATTATACTTCCAGGATGATTTATACGTGTTTTCATACAGGTTTTCTGGAATGCCATTGAAATTTAAACAAGTACCTCTCTAGTATTCTTCCATGTCGTCCATTGGTGTATTCAGGTTTTCAGTTTCGGACTCAAGTTGCGTAAACTTTTCGCAAACGTGTCTTTGAGGTTGATGTTTAAAAATTTGGATTTTGAAAATTATAATCCGCCTATTCTTAGTAGCTAATTCATCCTTAGAAATTTCAGAAAGAGAATCGAGTTTGTAAGGATCATGGCTGGTTACAATGATTGTTATTGTTAGAATAACTTTGATCCTTTATGAGCAGGTTTGCTTTACGATACACAAAAACATGCTCTACGTATGAACAATTTCTAAAACAAGTTGATGAAACAAGGATATCAACAGTTTCTTTTAAATTCATCATTTCGCAAGTTTCATGGTCGATACAATGACCTTGTCAGCACACACAAATTTTCATTGAATCAAATGCTGACTGACGTTTTTAATACTAATTGTTAGGCCATTATTTATACACTGAACTGTTTACGGTTTTCCGTGTTTTCCCGATCGCATGACAAGGAGCACACTGCTGGTGTGACCGGTCGGGAGGAGACGCTCACTCATCCATGGCACCTGATCCCACCTCTAAATTTTGATTTCCGTGTTTGCTCTGCTCCTAATTTGTATCGTTTTATTGGACTTGTGAGATTACTGTTCGGTATCTTCTTATTTACTAAAATCTTATCGAGGTAGAACAAGAGTTTTATTGCTGTAGAAACATTACCACTTTATTAGAGCTGCTAAAAAGAAAACAACATATACTTGTAACATTTGCATGCTTATGCTCACAAAATTAAGAAATTCATATCTATCCATAGCATAATTAAAAGGTCTACAGATTTTTCCGTTTTTTCCCCGATCATGACAAGGAGCATACGGCGGGTGTGACCGGTGGCAGGAGGTGCTCACCCCTCCATAGCACCTGCTTCAAATTTGTATCGTTTCAATGGACTTTTGAAATTAAATACTGTTTGTTATCTTCCTATTTCATTTACTAAAATCTTATCGAGGTAGAAAATGAGTTTTATTGCTGTAGAAACATTACCACTTTACTAGAGCAGCTAGTCTACATGCCGCTTATTTGATAAAAAAAACATATGCTTGTAATATTTGCTAATGCTCACAAAATTACGAAATTTATATCTATCCATAGCATAATTAAAAGGTCATAAATGAAGTCATTGGCACCAAGATTCTGTTAGAACTCTTACGTTTTGGCTCAAAGTAGTATACCCAGGTCTCATCACCAATAACTAAATTATCAAAAGTCTTTGATATATTTTGGATACAGTTTTAATACTTTTTTTCAACACGGACTCTTTTGTTCATGCTACCACCTAATTCTTATCTTTCTAAGCTTTGGATTTTTTTTCTTCAAAATACCATGAACACGCGCTAACGACAAGTTTGTCATCAAGCCAATTGCTTCACAGTATATTTTGCGTCTTTCTTTAGGATTTGGTGGATTTTTACGATGTTATTTTTGGTTGTAACATTGTTTTCTTTTTCAAGTCATTTTGAGTATAGTGTAATGAATACGCTATAAAGCAAGGTACACTGTGGCTAAGTCAGTGAAATTGAAATGAAACCGTTCAGTCATTAATCGAAATTTCTGTGAAATACTTTAAAAATGTTACTTCTCCTACAAATTTGGTCTAATTTCAATATAAATTGGCATATAAGTAGACTACACAAAGATACATATTTCTGTATATCGGATTTTGATTTCGATGAATGGTGTTGCCATGGTTTCTAAAATGAGAAATTTCTGTGAAATACATTCAAAACTGCTACTCCTCCTACAGTTTTGGTTTGATTTCAATATTACTTGGCACACAAGTAGACTACACAAAATACATAATTCTGTGTATCGGTTTTTCATTTCGATGAACGGTGTTGCCATGGTTACAAGTAGATTACACTGACATACATAATTCTGTATATCCATTTTTTGATTTTAGTGAAGTGTTGCCATGGTTACAAAAAAGCTGAAATTTCTTTGACATACTTTCAAAACATTTCTTGTCATCCGCGTGGCGGTGGTAGAACATTTGCTCTAGAGTCGGAGAGTAAGGAGTTGATCCTTACGTCGCGGGTTCGAATCCCACTGTGGGATATGGAGACCGGTCCTTCGGATAAGACCGTATAAACCAATGTCCCAGGTCGCCGTAGGTGCTGGCACGAAAAAGTTCTCTTACTGCTCAATGGCCCTGAGTGCCGAGCATTGGTTAAAATTTGCAGCTCTCCACTGGCAAGTGGTGGCGTCTCCATTTGAGTGAAAAATTCTTGAGAGGGACGTTAAACAACAAACAAAATATTACTTCGCCTACAGTTTGATCTGATTTTAATATAACATGACATGCAATTAGCCACGCTGAGATACATAATAGTCATTATTTTTTTTTTTGGATGAATGATGTTGCCATGGTAACTAGAATCAAAATGTCTCTAAAATTCTTTTAAAAGGCTACTCTTTCTACAGTTTTAGTCTGATTGCAATTCACTTGCAACAAAAAGAGAGTAAAACAAGGATTATTATTTATTGCTGTTGCAAAGTTTCAAGTCCAAGTGCTACTTTTCTCTTCCTTTGTTATAAGTACAAACCAGTAGAGCTACCCTCTCAACAGAGACGTCTGGTTTAAAGTTTTGATAGTCTTACATGAAACAAAATCAAGGTACTTTAATTTACATTGTTTTTACAGATGAATCAGATTTTTGAAGACTTCTAAATACCTATATATTACTGGGAGGGTTGAAGTGGATGACTGGACTTGCATACATTCCCAGCAGTAACCGTGAATCAGCTAGTAGTGGATGAAAAAGTATGTCTAATTTTATTGACATGCAGGCTTGTGGGAAGGCCCTATGAGCATGATAAAAATACTACTGATGATCAAAAGCTCATTGAAGATGAAATCATGGCTACAACTACTTCATTTAAAGAGAAAAGTAAAAGTTCTGTGGGAGAAATTTACAAGAACGATGATGCAACTCACGAAGAATTTGATAAATATGGAGTACTTAGGGGTAGCAATACTTCAGAAATTTACATCAGAAAGGTTTCGCAATCAGGAACAAGCAAAACAAGAAAAACGGGGGGAAACACGAGTTTTTAACAGCTTCAATGTTGTTGACGCAATCCGACGTTATGTCCCTCCGCATTCCATCAAATGCAGGGAACTCACTTATTCAAGAATCGTTTTCAGTAACGAATAACTATGAGGTTACAAAAGCTGCTAAAGAAGATGACTGAATAATTCAATTTGGAAATGTTTTAATTGAGTAAAGTATTGACAGTAAATTAAAGCGCAGGGCATGCACTTCTCAGATAATATTAGTTAGAAAGGTGATCTTCAATATCAGAAATTTAAAACCGTTAAATGAAGGCAGAAGACACATGTGGGCTTACCTGACACTGGAACATTTTGATGCTACTGTGAAGGCAACTCTCCAAACTGCAGCTCCTGAAAACGAAGATGAGGAATTTCTCCAAAAACCTAGCAATGCTATTAATTTGGGATATGATCTGAAGAGACTCGTTAACTTTAAAGTAGGCATATCAGTCAAACATGGGGACAAGAAAAACAACGAAGAGGCAGAAAATTCACTTATTAATTAATTTATTTATTCATTAATTTATTTATAAATTTATTTCAAAATACGGATATAAATTTAATTTCTGTGGTAAAATTTTCAAAATTTATTTCAAAATTAAAGATTATCTCCCTCATGCATAGCTCTAATCCTTCAACGTATTTGGCTCTAGTCTTTTGGCACCTTTTTCAGCTCTTCCAAGCCTCTTTCATTTAAATATTTCGGATTTCCAACGTTTCGGCTTGAGCATCACCGAAGAGACATAATTTGTCAAAATGCGCATCTGGTGCGTCAAAATTGGTACCGTATATGATTTATATTGAGAACCATGAATGTTTTCTGGCTTACAAAAGTTAAAAAGCTTTTGGGACAGGGGAAGTAAGAGAGGTGCGAAGAATTGCCGGATCACAAAGACAAAGGAACAGTGAGCAACAGTTTAAAAGGTGAAATTTAAAAAATCAAATATGAATAATCATGACTCTGCAAATTTCAGTCATGTTGCAAATATTATCATAGCCAAAGTGGTTAACTTATGAATAGCAGGAAAAGAACCGGAGAATTCGACCTTCTTTGTAGATAACTGAGTTTATCTAAGATTGTTAACATTAATGTAGATGTATTTCAGAATTTACTGCTGAATTAAGATGTAGAGTTTGGTTTTTAATGAAAATGCTGATTTCTTAATTGTACTGTAGATAACTATCAAAACAGATTGATTGATTGTATGTTGTTTTACATCCCGTTCGAGAATTTTTCACTAATATAAAGACGTCACTATGTACCGGTGAAGGGCTTCAAATTTAGACTTCCTGTCACTCAGGACCATTGAGCAGTGAGCGTTCTTTATCGTGCCAACGCCTACCGTGACACGGGGCATCGGTTTTTTGGGTCTCATCTGAAGGACCCGCAACGTTCACTTAAAAGTGCCATGTGCTTGGCGAAGGAACAGTTGCTACCTATTTTTTTTATTATTTTTTATCGACTTATGTCAGTCGCGACCGTGATTCGAACACACGACCTTCCGATCACGGAGCGAGCGCTCTACCGACTAAGCTACCGTGACGGTGTGTTTTTGTTTGAATTCTGAATGACTATTAAAAGACTTGTCCCATGTTTCTCAATTACTTGAAATTAAGAGCGTATTTTGTTCCTTATGATCATATTTTATAAATTTCGTGTTTTTATTGTGGAGATAACGCGGTATTTAAACATTATTAAAATTAAAAAACCCTCACTTAAAAAATCCAGTGCATTACTTCTGACAAGACCTTCCGGATTTTATTATGATATTTGACTGAATGACCTTGATCATGAAGTTTGAGCTATAATCTTTGCCATAACTGCTATCACAATTTTTTTTTTTTTTTTAATTCTAATTGATATTATTTGCAAAGTAAGATTTCTCTTTTGTACTTTTAATGTCTTGCACTGCATATTTAGTTTAATGAAGATTATTTTTCTCGACATTAATAAAATCAATTGCAAGAACAAAATATAGAAAAATGTTCACAAATCCAGCAGAATCATCGCATGGCTTAGCACCAATGACGCTTTCACCTGCAAAAATGAATGAAATGCGTATGAAATAAGAAGACGATAGAACACAGGCAATATGAAATACATGTATACACGATGGAAATTAAAAGAACGAAGACTGCAAGGGTAAACTTGTTGAATTGTTTTTTTAAATATTGTGTATTTGCCATATTTGTCAACTTTTATCTTTTACAGTTGATATATGAAAATGAATATCTTTAACAGGAAAAATAATCAGAAATTGACACATGGAACCTGCAACATACAAAATAAAATATTAAACTTACTAATACAGAAAGAATTCATATTTTTTGTCAATTATATAATGTTTATTTACTTATAATTTAAATGCATTGATATATTCAATATTTCATTTTGCAGTAACTTTATTCTGTAAATTATTTTTCTTCTGGCACAAAGCACATAAGATAATTTGACACAAAATAAACAGAAATGCATGATAATTTCAGTAGACGTGCTGCATGTGGTGCATATATAAACATGCATATATAAAACTATTAACAAGAAACAGGAATACCAAAGAACAACGAACAAAAAATAAAAAAAAAAACAACAAACGCACATATATTATCAAAACACATTCACCCTCTCGCATACTTTTCATAATACGTATTAAGATCGCTTTCATTATATACTGAATTGAAATGAAATGCAATCAAATACTGAAACAAAACGATACTTTGATTTTGACAGATTGTATGTTTTATGTGATACTATCAAATATTACAGAATTAAAATGAAAACATTATTTTATAACAGCCGTTAGCTAGGAATTAGATATTTTCTTTTACAGACCGGTAAACACAGATGAAAAAACAGAACTTACCAATTAATAGGGCAGTGGAGGTGTCCGGCGAGGTAGGAAAAGTTGTTGTAATCTCAAATGAAGTCTCTAAAAAAATTATTAAAAAAACTTGTGATAAGGTTACTTGCGAAATCAGAGACATTTGGATAATGCTGTAATTATAAATGTAGTATAATATGATCTCAAAATTAAAACAAGTTTTTTCATGTCCAAGATGGTTTGTTTATTAACCGTAAAAAGTATTTTACACTGGAAACCAGTTCAAGATTTAAAGTTTAATCCTTAAATCTAAATTGTTATGAATTGAAAATTCTTAAGGGGTAAAAATGTATATATTAATGATTGGAACTTGTTACATGATAATAACAATAAAGATGCCTTGTGTCGATGTTTTATTGATACCAACACTTATCTTTAAAGGCATTGTTGATTATCAAGACATCAATATTCAGAAAGAGGTTAAAAGCAAATTAATTGAAAGTCACTCGATATAAACATGAAATGATCAAATGAAAAGGAATTATGACAATTGTGACGTAGTCGCACCTATTGTGCTTGGCCATTGTGACGTAGTAATAGTCGTATCTGCTGGGGCAAATTCTGATGTTATTGTCGCACCTGTTGTGGTGCTTGGCCATTGTGACATAGTAGTCGTATCTGTTGTGGTGCTTGGCCATTGTTATGTTATTGTACCTGGTGTGGTGCTTGGCAATTGTGGCACGGTTGTCGTACCTGTTGTGGTGCTTGGCCATTGTGGCACAGTTGTCGTACCTGGTGTGGTGCTTGGCCATTGTGACGTTGTAGTCGTATCTTCTGTGGTGCTTGGCCATTGTGACGTAGTAGTCGTATCTTCTGTGATGCTTGGCCATTGTGACGTTGTAGTCGTATCTTCAATGGTGTTTGGCCATTGAGACGTAGTAGTCGAATCTTCTGTGGTGCTTGGCAATTGTGGCACGGTTGTCGTACCTGTTGTGGTGCTTGGCCATTGTTGTACGGTTGTCGTACCTGTTGTGGTGCTCGGCCATTGTGGCACGGTTGTCGTACCTGTTGTGGTGCTTGGCCATTGTGGCACAGTTGTACCTGGTGTGGTGATTGGCCATTGTGACGTAGTAGTATCTTCTGTGGTGCTTGGCCATTGCGACGTAGTAGTATTTTCTGTGGTGCTTGGCCATTGTAACGTTGTAGTCGTATCTGTTGTGGTGCCTGGCCATTGTGACGTAGTAGTCGCATCTTCTGTGATGCTTGGCCATTGTGACGTAGTAGTCGTACCTGTTGTGGTGCTTGGCCATTCTGATATAATGTAAAAAGGTGTTACTGAATCTATTGTGAATATTTCTTACTTTGATCGCTAAAATCGTCAATATCTAAACAGTTCATACAAATGCGACTGTAAATATTATTTATTTATAGTAGACATAAAAAAAATTGTATACTATAATCTCCGTGCAATATATTTATTTGCTATAAGACTTGAAACTTCCTTCTTTGGTTAAACTCGAGCAATTAAGAGAAAATAAAACAATGAACTACTCCTTTCAAAAGTGGTGGGACCGTTCACGGTAGCTTAGTCGGTAGAACGCTCGCTTAGTGATCGGGTCATGAGTTCGAATCTCGGTCGTCGATAAAAAAAATGGGCAACAACTGTTCCTTCGCCATGCGCTCGGCACCTTGAAGTGAAAGTTGCGGGTCCTTTGGATGAGACCTTAAAAAACGAGGCCCCGTGTCACGGTAGGCGTTCGCATGATAAAGATTCCTCACTGCTTAATGGCCCTGAGTGCCGAGTAAAGGTCAAAATATGAAGCCCTTCACCGGTATCTGGTGACGTCTCTATACGAGTGAAAAATTTTTGAATGGGACGTAAAACAACATACAATCAATCAAACAAAAAAAGTGGTGGTCATTTTCTTGATGAAGCTTGCATACTTTTGCTAAATCTTACTAACTGAACTCGATGTTCTAGGAGTTCAAGCAACGTTATATTTAACAAGATGCACGATAAGATAGGATACATTTACGATACGATAGGATACATGCACGGCACAACAGGACAAACGCAAAAAAACTGATAAAAGCAAAACACGATAAAAGCAGATTTTGATATGATAATGAATCGGTTATATAAATTACAGATACTTGTATACAAATCAGAATTGTAGCTACATTTACTTATTTTTTAATTAGTAAATGAATATCAGGGTTTTTTTTTAATTATCATAAAGCATGTGTGTATTTATTATTAAAAAAAGCAGATTTATCATTGGTACTGCACAGATTTTCATGTACCATCTGTAAAATATGGCTTTAAAATTAAATAACGTTTATTGGGTATATTGAACTGTTTTGTTCACTGGTTATTTCATTTAAAGAGGTTCGTTCCTGAGCTTCTGGAAAGATTTTTTTTTTCTTGACCTCTTTTTGAAAAATTCTGCATAATGTTTTAGTTCTTACAAAAATTTGGATTCTACAATTCTAATTTAACTATATTCAAATAAAACCCCATGATTACATTCCATACCAAAAGAATTAAGTGAGGAACTGTATTTTGTGGCGGAAGGCTTTTTAAAAGAAAACGATAAATTTTTCTCTTTTGAAGTATTTACAGTATTGTTATGTTTGGATTCCTTTTTTACATGCAGTCTACACACAGTTTTTTGCGCACTGAAATGTTTAAAGCTGGTCCTAAATTATATATTAAATTACTTGTCATGAATTCTATCATCATATTTGGAAAAATACAACAAATATATAGTTAAAGTCCTGGGGGAAAATAGCCTAAAAAAGCTTAAAATTACCTCTATTTTTGAAATATCTATAAATTAATATCACAGACCCGCAATTTTAATTTTCTTTTGTGATAAAAATAAGATAATTTTAACAATTCTGCTTAATTTTAGTAAAAATGTCGTTACTTTCAAATGATTTTATTGCTTATAAGATTTTAAATGCCAGAAAAGTGAAAGTTTTTGTGTGCAGAAAGGTCAAATAATTGACTATGCGAAGTAATTTGAAATTTTTGTTGTTGTCGCAAATGTTAACGTGACTATTCAAGTGAAAAAAGACTGTTTTTGCTCCCATAATTTATTTGGATAAAAAATATCAGAGGAAAAAGTTAATAAAAAAATAAAATATTTATCTGTTATGCATAATTACAGTGCAAAAATGTCATATTAAATGCTCCGTGGCGCCAAAAGAAGCGCATTGACCCCCCCCCCCTTTTGTTTTGATTTTTAATTAAGCTATGTGTGTAGACTTTTAAAATATACTTGATAAAAAATTCTCAATACTTTTGATAACAGGATCTAATCTCCTTAACATAAAAATTTAATGCCTAAAAAACACAAGCAGAGATTCATAGCCCAAAAATATCACATTCTTCCCTATTTTCTGACTTGTTACCAATACCTGTGCGTTCAAATTTACAACCTCATTCGCGGGATGCGAGGGTCGTGCATATGTACATGTTTTGACAAAAAATTCCAGTGACATTTGTTGGACTTTTCGTTTTTAGTTAACCTGAGCCAAAGACTCAAGTGAACTTTTCTAATCTAAAACTGTCTGTTGTCTGTCGTCGTCGAAAACTTCACATTTTAATCTTCTTCTCTAGAACCACTGAGCCAATTTCAGCCACACTTGGCACAAAGTATCCTTGGGTGAAGGGATTCAAGATTTATCACTATTACCTGTAGACTGTTAACAAAACATTAGTGCATCAGTGTCTTTTTTACCACATTTTATTACATGTACCTCTCACATTAACCTCTTTTGGTTTGTTATTTTTGTCTCATTTTTATTTTAATCTTTTTTTTATCTCCTACTTACAAGTCTAAATGATCATTAAAACTATGAAAGTACTTGTATTACGCAATAATAATTCTTGCATAATACCTTACATCATTTTCAGTGATCAGTTGTCAAAAGTGAATGGCAAGGGGAATAACTTCTCTCAGTAAAATGCAATTTAATAAAGGTTAAGACCATTAAGACCAGAACACTTTACCAAATAGTCCAAATGTTAAAAAATCTGGTAAAAATACTATTGCTCATTAACACTTTTACTCTGTTTGCCTTCTACAGCCCAGAAGCAAAGAAGATTTTCAAAGAAATAATGCATTTTCACTACAGATTCAACACAGCCCTTCTATAATACCAGAACCCAGGGTCATGAAATTCACAAATGTGGAAGGTGTACCGCTATCATCAAAACTATGCATGACGTTAAAGATTTTTAAAGAATTAACACATTTTCACTAGCCCCCCCACCCCCCCCCCCACCCCACCCCATCCAGGAGAAACACCAGAACCCCTGACCCTAGTCTTAAATATCATAATCGTGAAAACCGCCTGGAAAACGTCAGATATTTCGGACTACCCTACCGTTCACGATAGTTCAGTAGGAAGAGCGCTCGCTCCTTCATCGGGAGGTCGTGAGTTCGAATCTCGGCCGCGACTGACCTGTCGATAAAAAAATTGGGAAGCAACTGTTCCTTCGCCATGCGATCGACACTTTGAAGTGAAAGTTGCGGGTCCTTCCGATCAGGCCTTAAAAACCGAAGTCCCTGTCACGGCAGGCGTTGACACTATAAAGATTTCTCACTGCTCAATGGCCCTGAGTGCCGAGTAAAGGTCAAAATTTGAAGTCCTTCACCGGTATATGGTGACGTCTCTGCATGAGTGAAAACTTCCAGAATGGGACGTAAAACAACGTACAATCAATCAATCGGACTACACTGACCCTAGCACTACAAGTTATAAACTATGTACTTTGTTTAAATAATACCCAGGAGAAGAGAAGATTTTCAAAGAATACATGCATTTTCACTATACATCTATAATCAATAGAACCCAACCCTAACACAACAACCCCCGACCCAGGGGCCATGACATTCACAATTTTGGAAAAGCACCCTTGCTCATCATAACTATGTTCTTAGTTAGTTTAGCACTCAGGAGCGGAGATTTTCAAAAAATAATGCATTTCACTATATAAGCAATAGAGCCTCCCCTGAGAAACACCAGAACCTCTAACCCAGGGGCCGTGAAATTCACAATTTGGGAAGAGGCACCTATGTTCATCGTACCTATTAGTTTGTTAAGGAATGTTTTTAAGTTTTGTGTGTTATTGGTGTGTAAATCACAGACTTGCACGTAGGCATATTTTTCATGAAGCGCTTGCGTAGTTAACTCATGCCAACAGTTTGACTGCTTGATGCCAAGGTTAAAGAAAAATATATTTTAAAGATTGCAGTAATCAAAGTCCCACCCCTCAAGACCCGGGGTGGGTGGGGAAGAAACCATGTTATTCACAATTTTTGTTTCCCTTCACCAATAGATGCTTTATACCAAAACTGCAGCTTTAGGAGATCCAGAGAAGAAGTTGAAAATGTTTAAATTAAATATTAACGCACGGCAGACAGACAAAAAAGTAACGGATAGCAATTGATCTCCTGAGTGACTCAGGTGACGTAAAAAGCATATACCTGTCGAACTATCTATTGTACTGTCTGTTGTCTCTGATGACATGGAATCTTGACCTGCTGTAGTCAAAGTATCTGTAAAAGTATGGATTAAACATTATATAATATATTTTATATTGCTTCGAAAATAATAGTACATTAAAAACAATAGACGTAAATCAACGTAATTTATCTTCTGTGAATAAAGTACACAGTCTAACCAATGTCTTTTTATGGCACTATCTTTTCACTGCTTTCATGCTTACGGAATTCAGTGAAACTTTCTCCACGAAGACCTATGTATACTGTGAGAGGTTTATATGTTTTTCTCTACAAGCCAGTAGCATTTTAATATGTTAACTTCTCATTTGAATACACCCCTGTTTTTGTTGCTGTTCAGTCGAATACTGGCAAATGTACCACAAAGAGCCATAGCGCATTTGATAGGCATTTTCGCCTACTCTACTAGTGATTTCTTAAATACATTTTTTAACCAAAATTTTGTCATACAGTCTTAGTTTATACATGCGTAAAACCAAATCACACAATAATGATGTTTAAATGTTAATAGTTCCCTCATATGATAAATTTGAAAATTATCCAGTTTGTATAGAATATGTAGTAAATATTGAGGTATCCACCTTACGATGACAAACTGTTGCCAAAGACCACCCTTAACCAGAAAAACAACTTTTGAATAATTTTATTTGGATATGTCTGCACTTCATTCCCTTTCGATAATTTTGGTTAAAGGTGGTCTTCATATTGAAAATGATGAAAATATATATTAAATTTTTCTTCTCATATAATCGTAAGATTTAGTAATCTGTCTTAAATTTATCAACTTGACATCATTGACTTCGTTGGCGCAGCGGTATGATTGCTGGAATGTAAATATGGTGATTGCGAGTTCGAGCCCCACATTTTTCCATTTATGTTTTTTTTTTAAATTTTTTTTTCTTTGTGTATCTTTTCTACGTTTTTCTTTATTATGTTTTATAACATACACAATTTCAGACAGATATAATATACACATTACACTTTGAAAGTATCTCGGGAAAAGACAGTCCTTAACTATTTTATTAAAGTTTGCAAATTCATAGCAACTTGTTTTATTTTTATTGATTTTCTGCGTAAATCTTTTGTCTCAGAATTAGAGTATTGAACAAGTAAAATGATTGTCATTTGACATACTTGCAACACTCGTCCTCAAATCATATTAGATAGTTTGCTCATGAATTGAAAAGGTACAGTATATCTATAAATAGAAACAGGTGATTTCCTTTTAAATTCTTGAGTCGGCCGTGTGGTCGGGAAGGCAGCTATGGCTCTTTGAAAAAGTCCCGCAACCTTCCGACGAAATTGAATTTTGCAATTTAGGCAATTAGGTATGTTTTTTTTTTTTTGCTTCTCAGATACTTTTGGAGGCTCCCCATCCCCTTCGACACACACTCAGACACACACACACAAACTTCAAAAAACGTTGCTACGGTCCTGTTCTAATCATTTTTATCGACATCAATGTTTGCATCTTATCTATTTATATCAGTTTGAAACATGTACTTGACTTTTTCTCAACTAAACCAAACAAGAATTAATGGATTACATTAAGTTAATTCATTTTTAATATTGATCTTTAAGATTTTTTTTTATAAGCAGCTATGATTTACCCCAAATGTCGATATGTTTATTATAAAAAAATTACCATTTGGTAGGTATGTTCGATAATGCAGGCGGAATCCTTTTATAGATGCACTTCCACTTGTTGTTAACGTTATTGTAATGTTGTTTGTTCCAGTTTCAAATGTGCCGTTTGTAGAGTTCAGCAGTCTAAAAAAAAGAAAGAAAAGAAAAACACATTTTAATAGTAATGAGAATACAAATTTTTACTATGTGGACGAGTAAAATTATTTCTTCTTCATTAATTTTATTTTTTTTTTTTAGAACACGATTGTTGGTATTTTTTGGATGTAGTAAAGAGTTCTGATGCCGATATCATTAGTAATCACACTGCAGCTTAGAGCTCACTGTTACTCTGCGCATATTTCTTTTTCTACATTTTAAGACACTCTGCTGTCCTACAGGTGTCTTTTAATATTATATATATTTGCTACTTGTTGCCAAGTCTACATTTACGTACATGTAAAACCATGATAATTTCAAGTTGTTTTCCAATGTTGTATATTCGGTTAACTTATTTCCCCAATTCAATAGTGAATTAAATAGTAAATTGAACACGTGAAAAACATATCTTACTAATAAGGGAATAACTTGCCTTATGTAAATTTTAACTTGTTCCCCTCATATAAAGTATGCTTTTGATGTTGGATGTCTAATAATTTTCTAGGTTGTATACATGTAGATGTCTGCTTGTTGGTAGCGACTATGTATATTATTACTTTGAGTTGTCACGTTAGGTCTTAGGACAGCTGAAAATCATGCATGGCAACAGATCATTAGATTTTACGGCGGGGATCTGACATACAAATTCCAGAAGGCGGAGCTAACTAGTGGAACTGTGAGCGAGCTCATAAAATAATACCCTCAGTAGCAATGTTTTTGAAGTTTTCAATCAAATTATGTTGAAACGGTTTAGAGTTATTCCCCTTTTGCTACATTGCTTTAATTAAGAAATCATTGTAAATAGTGTAATTAACGGGTTATTTGATTAAATGATTTTACAATAAAGAACGTTATATATATAAAAACAAACCAAAAATAATTGTTTGGTTGAGACGAGCAAAGTATGCTCAGGAACGCTCAGAAACGGATTCTTGCCAGTGAAAACACTTAATTTTATTGATATAAAGATTATATAAGTAGCAAAATGGCCGATGGGTTTGGGTTATACAATTTTGTATCCAGTTTGCTGGAGACGATTTTCTATCAAGAAACGATTGTTATTTGTAAGTTGTTCTTGTTGACAAGGGTTGGATTGATTAGTAAAGGAAATACTAGATTGTATCGTCAATTGTCCAGACCTGGCGAAACCAGTTGACGTGTATAACCAAGTGGCTAGAATTCCCCGACGGCCTTTGTAGTCAAGTGGCAGGTATTGGCAAGTGGCCTTTGTAGAAGCCAAGGGGTAAAAGCATATGCCAAGTGGTCATTGTAAAGTCAAGTGGCGGTCGTATAGCCAAGTGGCGTTGATGTAGCCAAGTGGCAGGAATCTCGATATATACTGTTTACATTATACACTAGACAAGTGTTCTCTATATTTGTATATATTGCTTAAACTTAACACCAGGCAAGTGTTCTCTATATCTGTATATATTGCTTTTGATCTGTATATTTTGCATTTATTATTGTCCTCATAAGACTTGGGCATTAACCAAGTACGAGCCCAAGGAGATCGCCCGGGTCCCGCACGTTACAATGTAAATATGACGTTGAACTTGACCTTGGTTAAAATAAAAATACCTCACCCTCTTTGCATTAGTAATATTTCAGTGAAATATGGACATGCAATGTTTCTCCTTTAGAAAATTATAAACCTATTAAAAAGTTTACATTTTTTATCCAGTGACCTTGAGCTTGTTGGAATGAACTTGATTAAGATTACGACAGACACCCTCAGGTCATATACAATCCCTGTACCCAATATGAGCTTCCATTGATTATTCTTATAAAGTTATAGCCCAGACAAGAACTTTATCTTCTCTGCTAGTGACCTTGAACTTGCCAGAATGACCTGAGAACATGGTCAGTACACACCAAGCAATCCCTGTATCAAGTGAGAGCTCTAAGTAATTCTCAATTACAAAGTTAAAAGCCCGGACAAGATTTTTCCCTTTCTGTGACCTTGATCTTGCCAGAATGACACTGGGTCAAGGTCGTGACAACCCCGCAGGTCATGAACAATCCGTACCGAGTACGAGTTTCTCTATAGCAAAGTTATAGCCCAGAGAGGAATTTTATCCTTTTCTTTCAATTACCTTGAAATTACAGGAATGACCATGGGTCACGGTAACACACACCCTTGCATCGTAAGCAATCTATTTACGAGCTTCCAGTTTTTCCATTACAAAGTTTAAGCCCGTACAGGAATTTTATACTTTTCGGCTAATGACCTTGAACTTGCAGGAATGACCTAAGGTCCTATTCATTACACACCCTTGGATCATAAGCGATCCCTGTACCAATTATGAGCTTCCAGTGATCTCAATTACAAAACTATGGCCCAGACAAAACTTGTTACAGTTTTTTGGCCAGTGACGTTGCCCATATGACCTTGAGTCAAATGTCAAAACATTGTAGTTCATAAGCAATATCTGTACCAAGTATGAGCTTCCACTGATTCTCAGTTACAAAGGTATAGCCCAGACAAGATTGCATGAACACATGGACAATGTGATTTCTATATAAACTTCGGGGTATCAACCGCACTATTCCACACCGTTTATTTATAGCCGTTGTCAAGAATTCTAAGTAAAGGTATTCAACTCTACAGTGCCAAATGTATAAAAGACGCGCTTTTTTAAAAAAAAAGAAGTTTATTCGTTCATGGAAGTTTACCTGTAGCAGGGACTTTTTTGTAACTAATTGTATATAGGCCCCTCATGTCAGGGACTGTAGATGACATCTTTGTACTAAGGACACGCCCAACTTCTTTTGAAGAGAGGGTAAACTAATTGATGAAATCTGGACGATCCAGCAAACTTTTGGTGAAAGATGAGCTACTTCAGTACATTTTGCCGATAACAGCACAAAGCTGGTAGAGGACAGTTTCTGCAAGTTTTCTCGAGAATTAATGCTGAAATCGGACAAGTTGATAACAATTTTATTTCTGAACGAAAGCGAACTCTTATGAGTCAGACTCAGTTTGCAGAGAATGCGTTTGACAAGTACCTCTAACAGAAACTGAAAAAGAGTCGCTCGGTTCAAAGTCATCCCTAACCTTCAAAGGAATAATAGAAGAAGCTGTTTTTTTCTCCTGTCATAACCACAAACTAACAATTCAAGGCGCACACCCAAAACAGACTCCACTGTGTACACAGCAGTAGATGCTTCAGGTGTGTAATTATGAATATAAAGGTGAAAGAAAGGGGTGAGCTTCTTGCTTACGATCTACAGTTCAGTAAGCACGGAAATCTAAGTCAGCAACTCAAAAATGGACTCCGAAGAGATCTAGGCACCTGACCCCATCTCTGATATTGCCAGTGGTCAGTGTTGTATGCCTGTTCACAGTTCTGTATTGTTTGTAGGTTTTTATGCCTCAGGATCGAAAGATCCCGGGGGTATATTGTTTTTGTCCTGTCTGTCTGTTGTCAACTTTAACCTTGCCCATAACTTTTGATTGGTTGGAGCTTTTACTTTCATATTTCAAATAAGTATTCCTTCTGAAAAGACCTTTTTTCCCTATCATATTTGACCTTGGAGTTTGACCCACTTTTGCAAAATTTTATGAGACTTTAACCTTGGCCATAACTTCTGAACAGTTGGTGCTTGGGGTTTCAAACTTCACATGTATATTCTTTGTGACAAGGCCTTCCTTTGGATACCAACAACTTTGACCTTTTGACCTTGACTTTGGAGTTTGACTTACTTTTGAAAGACTTTAACCTTGGCCATAACTTTTGAATCGTTGGTGCTTGGGGTTTCATGCTTCACATATATAATCCTTGTGACAAGACCTTCCTTTGGATATCAACCACTTTGACCTTGACCTTTTACTTTTTAAAAACTTTAACCTTCCCCATAACTTTTTGAACAGTTGTAGCTAGGGCTTTCAAATTTCACAGGTATATTCCTCGAGACAAGACCTTTTTTTTGGTACCAACATTTTTTATCTTTTGGCTTGGATTTTGACTTGCATTTGAGAAGCTTTAACCTTCGCCATAAGCTACCGGTGGCATCAGTGTTTCACAACACATCTTGTTTTTAGATCGATTACTTTTCGTTATCTTCAGCTTTTCCCTATTGTTTGTTATCACTAAAACATTATCTAAAGTGACCTTTGAGTGAAGTATATCACTTAAAACTGATTATGCTTTTTAATTGATCAATATAGATATGCATTTTATACATAGAAAATGATTGAAGCGAACTAAAAATTTGTAATATTCAACTGTAACTATTACCTCCATAATTGTTGATTCATATTATTATCCACTACTGTGAAAGAATCGCAGCAAGGTGTGATTTCCAAATTTTCTATCTCTATTTCTATGGCCAAGTCGTAAAATACATATATATACCAGCTGCAGTTATTATTGGTAAAAGTCCACGTTGGGTAGTAAAGACTGTTTATTGTGCCTGAGGTGGAAATGAATTTTTCCGGACAAATTCCTGTCAATCAAGAAGCAAGTTATGAAATTCAATACGAATGTAATTAAATAAACTGTATAAATCTTATATTTAACCATAGAATGTCTACCGACCTGTGATTTACTTGAAGATTGAGACAATTTTGAAAACTTTCATCGTCAGGAGAATGAGAAAGAAGGCCGTAAGGACATATGATACTGATTTTGCTCATTCATGATTCATCAAATAAAAATTATTTGTGTGAAACAGATACTAATAGTACAATTAAAATTAATGTACAGAACATAGATAAATGAACTTACTCGAACCAAAAAACTTAACAATCAAAAATGCAAAAGAAGATTAAAACTTTCGAGTCATGTGACCTTACCCAATGAACCATGTAGACATCATGGCAGTAATTTTGAATAATCTACGTGTACAATACGACCTCTGGTCTTCCTTTAATCAATGTTACGATTTATAGTTTTACACAAAATATTTGATTCTTGGGTAAATTACCACTTTTCAATGACAAAGTATTCTATAAACATAATTTTCAGTGATCTTATAAAATTCACAATATAAAGGTTCCCTACATACCCACTGATCAGAAACATAAAGAATTAGTGAGGAAGGGGGGGGAGGTCACCTCTTCGTACTTTCTTTTCTAAACGTTTTAATGACAGTTTGATTGACCACGAACAAAGTCAAACCCTTCCATATTAATGAAAAAGGTCTTAAATAAAAATTCTGGTAATGAAAGTTGAAATGGACCACAAGGAAATAATATTTGCGAGTTTGTAATTTATTTACTGCTTGTTCATTTATTTATTTATTTTTTTTGTTAGTTGTCAGTTTTTCCGTACCCTTGCTTAAACGATAATCTGTGCCTGAGAAAACTTGTTTGCCGAATAAAATCAACAAATTGTTCTTAGACTCAATAAAATGGCAAGATATACATGTAGCACCTTCATTTTTAAATGTATACCTTATTCAAATTTTATATTAAGGGACCAAGGTGGCCTTGACAAATTATTTTCTGTTTGAAAAGTAGTAAATAAATGAAATTTAAACACTTTATCAATTCGATTCATGAATTCTACTTAAAATGAACACGCTTCATGAATGTGTAACTTGTGTTTTTATTTAAAGGAGGATTCGTGAACGTAGGCTATTGAGATGTTTTTGAAAAGAAAGCTATAAAAAATAGGGCACTAAGTGGCAATAAGTTAAATACTGTTCATCTTCTAGTCGGATAACTGGTATTTTATACTTCAATAGTTATTGTTACACAGTTCATTTTTTGTCAATGAAATTTATGTCTGACACTTTAGTTACATGAACTGAATGCTCTTCCATGTCATTTAACACAATGATCAGTCTTACCGCATGTTGAAATAACCTGTGCAAGAGTTTCTCCTGTGAAATTGCCTGGAATTAAACGAGAAGTATTTTAATTATGATGCACAGAATAAAAGAATTGATATTTTTTTGTGTTTTTCTTTCTTATGCTAAAACAACCAATTCTTAAAAACCAAAGGCCCCTGGGGCACATCGCTCGCTGGGCTCCTTGCCTAAAGAAAAGGAGAAATCACTTTATTATTGAAAGGTTTAACTATACCAGTTGCCCCTACCTAGGCCCATAAGGAGGTCGTGATTTTACCGAACTTGAATAAATCTTTGAGCATTTTCAAGAAAATTTTATTTCAAAACCCCAAGTGACTTACAGAACACCCCTATTAATTTATTTGAGGCCATGAATTTAGGTAAGAAGTACACACATTACGAAATATGATTTGCGGATGGGAAATTAAGTTCTCTGATCATTTCAGAGAAATTTTATATACCTATCAACAAATTCAGAAATTTTGAGGTCAAAAGCCTTCAGGAAGTCTTATATTTCAAAGAAAAGTTCTGAAAGTATGAAATTCGTTTCTTTTAAACCTTTTGCAATGTAACTTAAGGTTAATAATCACTAGACCTCTACTGACTTTGATGCAAAAGGCTTAAAGGTACGATTTAATTTTTTTTAATGTTCTTAATCCACTTGCATATTTTAGGTATGTCTCCGCCCCCTTTTTAATCCTTAAGTGGGGGGGGGCATAAATTCTCTAAATTAACTTGGATTTTTTTGCTACCTTCCTTCTCATATTGTCTGAATGAAGTTGAACTACATTCATACAATATTATCGGGTCGAATAAATTCCAAAATCGGGTCGCCAAGCGGTTGTAATGTTGGATGAAATATAAAGATAACAACATGCTCAAAAGTCGATAAAATATGTTAGGCTTTGAGAAGGTGACCTGCATGATCGCGAGTTCTGCAAGACCCTCTATCACAAAAATAAAAAAAAAAATCATGCTATAGTTTGACGCGTGTTATTAAAGGTCAAGAATAGGATTAAATGTTAGTTATTGATAAATGTATTCATGTTCAATCTTGTTCCCGTCTTCACGGCTGTTGTAAATTTTATTTATTATGTCACCTGAGTCACTCTGCTGCTAGGTATTTAGCTGATGAACTAAGTATATAGTTATGATGAGCAAGAGTGCCTCTTCCAAAGTTGTGAATTTCATGGCCAATGGGTCAGAGGTACTGGTATTAGGGCGGGGCTCTAATGATTATATAGTGAAAATGCATTAATTCTTTGAAAATCTTTTCCTCTGCTCCTGGGTATTAACCCGATGAATTAAGTACATAGTTTTGATGAGCAAGAATGCCTCTTTCAAAATTGTGAATTTCATGGCCCCTGGGTCAAGGGTTCCATGGGGGGGGGGCTTATTTATTATATAATGAAAATAAATTAATGCTTTGAAAATCTTCTCTGCTCCTGGGCATTAAGCTGATGAACTAAGTACATAGTTTTGAGGAGCAAGAGTGCCTCTTCAAAAAGATGTGAATTTCATGGCCCCTGGGTCCGGGGTTCCATGTGGGGAGGATTTATTTATTATAAACTGAAAATAAATTAATGCTTTGAAAATCTCCTCTGCCCCTTGGCATTATGCTGATTAAGTACATAGCTATGATTAGTAAGAATGCATTTTCCAAAATTTTGAATTTCATGGCACCTGGACATATCAGGAGCAAAGAGAGTAAAAGTTTTAATAAGGAAGGGTATTTAGCCTGATTTTTTTAACATCTGGACTATTTGGTAAAGTGTTCTGGTCCTGACCAGGGCTCTATTAATTTGTATTGTACTGACAGGAGTTATTCCCCTTTGCCATTTATTTTTGATAATTAATCACTGTAAATAATGTACTTGACAGTTTAATAGAATAAGAGAATTATGCAAGAATTTTTATTGTATAATACAAAAAGTACTTTCATAGATTTAATGATCAGGTAGACTTGTAAGTAATAGATAAATAAAAATGAGACAAAAATAACTTGTCTTATTAAATGTTCATCAAACAGCAAGAGAGGCCAATGTATGAGATTTCAACAAGGAATTAAAATAGTACAGAAGCACTGATAGTTTGTTAATATACTGTATTGCGATAGTGATAAATGGGGAACAGATTAGAACCTGATTTATGAACTGTTAATGAATACTGGACTAATTATTTTGTTGATCCTGATCACCGTATTTTTCTTGCGTTTGGGAAACAAAGCTTCACCTTTCAGTTCATTTTACACTCTATGGATCCTCTAAATTAATTGTTGTATTATATTCAGGTGACTGTTAAGGCCCCTGGGACTCTCGTTACGAGTATGAATGAGGGTGAAGAATGTCCTTTGATGTTATTTACAGAACACAAATGCATGTATGTTGAAATGTGAACACAAAATTTTTGTTGAAATATTTATTTTTAAGAAAAATAAAATAAAAACAGATTGCAAAAATTATTTATATATTTAGAGGAAAATGACTTACTGTTTGTGAGATATGTCGTGTAGCTTAGTCGAAAACCTGTTGATAACACAGAGATATCTGTTTGATATCTTAGAGTTATGCTGTTTGTCTCTGTATATAATGGCGCAGCCACGCATGATCCGCTTAGCCTGAAATTAAATTAAATCCTTTACGATGTAATCTATTTAAAGACTACAAATTTTGCAAAAACCCTACAATTTAAAAAAAACAGGAGGCTCAAGGGCCTTAACGGTCACCTGAGTATAATACAACAATTTAGAAGTTAAATACACTGATAGATGAAGCTTTGTTGCCCTAAAGCAAGAGAAGTAGGAAGATCAGGATCAACAAAATAATTAGTCTAGTATTCAGTATCAACTCAAAAATTAAGTTCTAATCTGTCTCCAACTTAACACTATCACCATGCAGACTATTAATAAACTATTAGTGCTTCTGTACTATTTTTAAACCCATATTAAGATTTACCATTGACCTCTCTTATGGTCTTCGAAGAACTTTTAATAAGATAAGTTATTTTTGTCTCATTTTTATTTATCTATTTCTTACAGGTCCACCTGATTATTAAAACTAGGAAAGTAGTTTTTTGAATTATACAATAAAAAAATTCTTGCATAATTTGTCTTATTATATTAACATTTCAAATACATTATTTACAGTGATTTATTATCAAAGGTGAATAGAAAACGTTAATGACTTCTCTCAGTAGACTACAAATTAATATAGTCCTGTCCAGGACCAGAATGCTTAATCAAAAGGTCCAGATGCTCAAACACCTGGTAAAAATACCCTTACTTATATCATTAAAACATTTACTCAGTTTGCTTACGATATGCCCAGAAGCAGAGAAGAATTTCACATGTTTACTCTTACGATTTCGCCGTATTTTGTACGGATTTTGAGTCCAAAATACGTCTCACGTTTTGCTATAACAAAAATACGGAAATTCATGTCGTTTGTTTGTCTCAGACAGTCTAAAAGAAAAACCGTTCACGGTAGCTCAGTCGGTAGAGCGCTCGCTTCGTGATCAGGAGATCGTGAGTTCGAATCTCAGCCGCGACTGACCTAAGTCAATAAAAAATGGGTAGCAACTGTTCGTTCACAATGCGCTCGGCACTTTGAAGTGAAAGTTGCGGGTCCTTCGGATGA